TTTTCATTCCACGCGTGCGCGTACGCATTTTGAACACTCAAAGTTTCTTTTTATTGAGCCCATATGAAATGATTTGAAGAATTGTGCAAGCGAAAGGAAACTTGTACTGGAGTTTTAATTCTGATAACGTTAACAAAATATTGGAGAGTAATTGTCTCATTTTGTTGCGACCTATAATCCTGGAGAGAAATGACCCAGAAGAGGGCACTGAGGGAGGTGCATACTGGTACTGCGCAATTTTGAAATCTGACGAGAGGGATTGATGCACCTAATTAAGCATACATTGAAAATGTGTGAATAATTCAAATATTAAGATTTTCCAACCACTTCAAGCTCCTAACCAAAAAACTTTATTTTTGATATTTTTCAGGACTGAAACAAGTGACTTGGCCGCCACCACCGATCGAAACCTACTACTACCCTGAACAGACTCCAGAAGTCAACACACCTTCCTTTCAACAGGTTAGTGCAGTGCATACAAAAATACTTCGATGGGCATCCCTTCTCTATTTATTGAGAACTAGTGTTGTAGAGCGTAGCTTGCTGCACTATAGTTTTTCTCACTTTAATGGCAGTTACGTTAAAAAAGTACCTAATGACACAATTGGGATAATTTTGCAAAAAAAAAGAGAAAAAAAAGAGGAAAAAAAGTGGCAGTGGTAATGGTAGAATTCGTTTAGGAAAAAAGGAACACTTATAATGTAACTGTGTATCATGCCCCCTCCCTGTAAAAATGCGATAAATGCAATAAAGTCAGGTAAATGAAGGGAAAAAGAAATAAAAATGAGATAACTAAACTACCATGCTTAGGTAAAACACTGTAAGATCCTTGAGGCTTTGCTTTGATGAAGTACGAATTTGTTTGGAAAGTTGAGCGTATTTTCCTTCCAATTTTTCAGACAATTTTGTTCGCACTTCAATCTAGAGTATCTGAGAATTTCCAAGAAAAATAGGTATGACTTTTCTTCAAAATACATTTTTCACCAGAGGAAATTTCGCAACATTTGAATGTTCATATGGCATTACTCTTTAACGCGGCAGTAAACCACAGCTCAAATGGGTGAATTTTGCATCATAGGACAGAGCACGCTCGATCAAAGCTTCGGTTCGTATATTGGCGGTTAAAGTGCTATAAATCGCGTATCTCAATTGCGGCGTTTCAAACCTTCCGCTCTTATTTAACTTACTCAGCTTGTTTTGGAAGTAAATCAGCTTTCCAAAAAGTAGGCAATTTATGACTAAAAATAGTTAACAAATTTTTGATAAAATATTTATAAAAATAGGTTACAGTTATCAGTGGCATAGCCAGAGGGAGATTTATAGCATCTGGAAGTCTCATTTGAGCTGAAAGAAGTAACCATTTTAAATGCCCTCACTTGAGAATGAGGGAAATCAAAGGAAAAATGATGAAACCATGAATATGAATCGATTCAAATCAATTTGGCAAAAAAAAATAATTTTGCCCGTTGAATCAGAGAGAATCCTGAATCAATAGCCCCTTGAATCAATAGAATTTTTTTGGTTAATACTAATATTTTACAATCGAAGCGATTAGAGACTCTCCAACTCTATCGTTCAGTGAGATGTTAGAAAATACAGTCCCGCACTAGTTATCTAATCATAATGATCTTTACAGACTGATTTAAAAATTCCTACAGGACTATTTTCAGGGTGAGATGTGAGGTCAAGTGAATGATGATGTTAGAAACAGAGTTAAAAAAAGTTGCATTCCTAATACTGCTTCATCTATGTTTCAGAGTACAGACTCCTCCGCACATGACAGGTCTGCAAACCAAAGGATAGTTCCACAACCAACAGACTTCAAAAAATCCAGTAACTTTGAACAACCACCTTCCACAATCCAACTGAGGTCATCATTACCTGTTCGACAGGCACCATCACCAGTGTTCTCATCTCAACCAGCTACGGCAAGCATTCAAGGCGGCGCAAGGATGAGAGGTGATACCAAATGGCCACCAGAACCATACAAACAACAGGCTGCTGCTGAGAATGCCTTGAGAGAGGCAATCGCAAAAGGACCTGCATGTCGACCAAGAAAAGTCCAAAAAGATTATACGTCTTTCTTCGCACAACATGCTCTTAATAGCACATACCCTGGCTACAGGGCACCTCCTGGGACGCAACACCAGCATACGGATGAATCTAATTTTTAACTTTACAAATCATTCAATGAGCGTTGATAACGAACTGTAAATTAGCTTACCTGCCATTCTGATGAACGCCAACTTTGGAGAAAAATGCTGCTTGAAAAGATGTAATAGAAGGATAGTGGCTAATGTCAGATTCTAAGTTGGAAGTAGCATGACCATTGATTCATCATTCGAGAGATTCACTACTTAGATGATAATCATAACTAAATTTACTTTAGCAAAAAATCAAACCTCTGCCGATAGTGCTCAACAGTCTGAAGTTTTGGGAAATTTCGTTCGACATAAAATTCAAAATTCACTCACTGAAAGTAACAAGTAACTAAAGTGAACTAAAAGATCTGTAAACGCACGCTTTTGTTATTTGCATTGTTATTGATAGGTTAGAATTTCGCGGCTCCCTGATTGGCGAGAATTTGGCGGGCTATTGTTGAGGCGCGTAGATCGGATGATTTTAAAATGACGGAGGTACATGCAAGCGAGCGTAAGCCAAGTTCCTCATGCGGTATGCTACTGGTGGTTAGTTGATAATTTTTCACTTTCACTCAAAATATGTACGTTCCTAGCTGTGTATCATTTGTTCCCAGTCTTTTCGATAATCTGATCTTCTGGATACACGGGGAGGAAAAAAAAACAAAAACAATAAACAAATAAAAAATACAGTATCCAAAAGTACTGACTGGCAATAAAACTAGTCAATAAAAACGCAATGATTACTTACTAATTGTTGATGTGAAACTTTTGTTAATAATGTAAAGCTTTGTGATATGCATGAATATAATTTTTTTTATATATGTATCTTTATTTTATAATTTTGAAATAATATGAATAAAATGCTTCATGAATATTTAAATACTTGGTATACCTAATTTAAAGATACTTATCTTTTTAGTGCAACTCACTATCTTGACACTGCTGGATGAGTTGAGGCGATCGAAAATAATGTGACTTTATTAGCATTTCAACATTGCTAGTTTGACGAATGACATTATTATCTCCATCCAGAAATTCAGAGGGCTCAAAATTCACACTTGATGGGTGAGCCAATAATTTAAACGTCCACTCCCCCGGTCTCAGTTGAAACGATTAGATTAAATATTAATATTAAAAAAATTAATCAGCAGAGTCTAGCTTTAACCTGAAATTACAATTAGGACTACTTTAAATTTTAATGGTACATTTAACGAAGATTATTAAGCTGAACTTCTCCTTTAAAACTATATATCTTTGACTTTTTCTTTCCATTTTCTTTTTAGACTTTTCGACAATGGAACTGCAGGAACGCTTATGTTGTTTGCATTATTCTGAAATCTCTCTCTCTCTCTCAATGAAAACAGAAAAATGTTAAGTTTTCATGAAATAAAGATAAGTATTTTTCCATTAAAAAATAAAGTCTTATAGTAGGTCTGCGACACTTGAAACCGTGATATCGTTCCTGCAGTTTAACTGCCGATATTTCCCTAATTCTATTTTGCGATTTAACATTTTGCAGCTGTTGAAAATGAACAAGTAAGCTTGAGAGAAATACTCTGCAGGAGTAAATTTTTCATTGTAAAACCAACAAGTAATTATCCTAGTGGTGAAGTAATTTTTTGAATCATAATATTTTGACTTCGGGATGTGAAAAACTAATTACTAATTGTTCAATCTACGGGTTAATTAATGTAGTTGATAGACAAAGCAATATACAAAGAAGATGACGGGAAAAATGCAGCAACCCTAAAGGTTGATGGGTGGCTGTTGTTGACTATTCAAGGGGGAAAATAATGGACTAACTATAGGGTCTTTCGTGGGTTGCTATTAGTTAGTTTCTTATTATTGCCTCCTTCGTACGTAGCAACCATCCACTTCCAACGATAGAATCACTCCATATGCTCTTTGTCTATCACTTTCTCTGTCAATTTCAATAAACAGCCTGCTATTTCACTCAGGTTACAGTTTTAGTATCATTTCTAAAGTGTCTTCACGTTTTATTTATGAGTAAACATGGTTTAATTTGATACTATTGGTTAAAAATCTCATGGTGAATGATGTTTTCTCCTTTTGTCATAGACTTTCAGCATCAATATGCTGATGGTCCGTCCTAAGCCATGAGCTTTACCCGGTAGTGTGCATCTGCTGAAGCAATAAATACATGCTTACATTGTCTTAAATTCTTGAGCAAAACTTCTTTCTTCAAAGAGGAACTAACTATGGCACTTAGGAGAGTAATAATTTGCCACAAGATAGCAATGAGTTTGACTTTCTTGTCTCCTCGAGTTGGGCTCCCTCATAACTATCACTTTTGCTGGAAAAATTTTTACTCAATAATAATTTAAACTTAAATTAGTTGCAAGTGGAAGAAATTCCAATTTAGGAAGTAATGCTACTCACTACTGTTTAAAGAGAAATGGATAAATTAGTGCTCTGGTTTTAAGGGTATGAGCCACTCCCCAAACCATTTCTGATGCTGCTGTTCAAAGGTGATGATGTGCACCAGTGCATGATGGAGTATACTACACTGCATAGGCTAAAAATCTGGTGCATCCACAAAATACATGATTAAAAATGACACAATTTTATCAAAACTTTTAATTTGATTAATGATTAATTAATGACATTTTCTAATTTTCTTTAAAAAAGTAACACTCAGAGCAACAATGACTTAATGGAGTATCAACAATTTATGACGGGGTTCAGAAAAGATACATATTTCAAGTAAGGCCTTCTCTTTCTTTCCATTGTCTTTTCAATTCTTCCAGTTTCCTCCGCTTACTCTCTGCCGCAGATGATCGTTTTTTATCAATTCTCTTCTGTTGGGCTTCAACTGAATTCTCTCCGTTGATTTCATTATCCAACTTGGTGATTAGTTTTTCACGGGCTATCTTTCGATTTTGCTCCACGGATCTGGTTTCATGACATCTGATTATAAAACCTGAATTGAAGAAATCAGACTTGTAAAAGAAAAGCAAACAAAGAAGGAGGAACAAATCCTGGTGTTAGAATCTGAAATTCAAGGGGAATCATGTATAGATGTAATATTGATTTTGATTAAATAAAAGGAAAAAGTTATATTTGCTAAGCCACATTTCACTAAATTTGATTCATTTTTACATCACTAAAAGACTATGAACTCGATTCAGGTTACAAAGAAAGAAGTCATGGGTGATGGTCATCTAAAAATAGTTAAAAGGTAGCAAGGAAACGATGATCAGAAGCGGGCAGCGTTGAAATCTCAGAGAGAATCTAACTATGCTGGAACTGGGGAAAGAAAAGGATGGACACATGTCCCATAAAAAATGGCACCATTCAACAGAAATTTAACTTTGCTAGACTATGGGCCAACTGATGATTGATGCACTTCAGGTTGAATGGCATTTGTCCATTCTTGTATATCTCAAGGTCTAAACCCTTACTTCCATTTGACAACAGACTGTCTTGATTGATTTTTTTTTAGGTCGAACTTATTGAAATTTCTAACAAATTTTAAATACATCAGAAACTCAATGACATTGTTTTTCTGGAGATAAATATTTCTGGTAAGGCACATTCATCATTACTTATACCATACCTGTAGGTAGGTGTGTCAAGATAACCTGGTTTGCTGAGCGAGCGACAGACTGACCACCTGGACCACTACCCCGAACGAACTGCTCTTTGATGTCTTTTTCGTCAAAAGTTGGCACTTTGGATCTATCTATTTTGTAAGTTACTTTTAAAATACTAGCTACACAGCTTGGGAAAAACTGCTTGAGCACTGAATTCCGAATGAGTGCTTTCTGATAAATCGGAAACATCATGAGGCTAGTTATATCACTTGATTCGCTTGTTTTGTAGGAGAGCAACACCTTTCTGAAAAAAAGAATTAAAAAACAATAGAAAATAAGTAACAATAAAATAGAAAAAAAAATCAGCCGAAGTAAGAATTAGAAGTTCTTGTAGTCATTGGGTCTCATCTGGGATCCCCTTTCTTGTGGCTTCAACTTCAAGAGCTTCCATTCCATTTGAGAGTTTGTTTCAGAAAAAAACCAGTGGCACCATAGTGTTTCTTGCAACATTTTACACAGGAAAAAGTATTAAAATCACAAATCTCTAACACGTTCAAGAGTTCCATCCAGTTAGAGAACACTTACCTAAAGAGGACTGCACATGAACTTTATTAAAAAAGAATATTTTAAAAATGGATTCACTTACACATGTTTATTAAGGGCTAAGGAAAAATACTGCCAACTGATTAAATTAATGGTAGCTGAAAAAATAGAGCCAATCGATGCGATATATAGCTTGTCGTTCTGACACAAAATATGGCGTCCGTCGAATCACCCCAAGTAGCTAGCAAACCACAGACGAAATTTTAGCAAAAATATTGCATCAGCCCATGGACATATACAAGAAATACATTGCTTCTTCCTCAAAATCCAATCTGCTTTGGTGAGTTTCTTGGCTGTGGGTGCAAGCAACCCGAACCATACCCCGAACTTGACAAAGTAAATAGTGTTGAGATATACTACATACCTCATACAAGAAGTTCATTTGAGCAGATTCACTTTCATTTTTGTTCTTCTTGAATTCATCTGAAATCCTTTGATAGAAATAACTCTTGTCTGTGTATTGCAGTTGCTGTCCGTAACGCAGGATGTCCTTGTACAACCGTAAAATTTGTTGTCTGTGAAGTCCACTCATTCTTCTTGATATGAAAAGAAATAGTAACACTTAATAAAAGGATAACATGCTCATCCTATTATTTTTTTGAATACTTGTGAGAACTTGTGGAGTCAGAGAAAAACCTTTCAACTTTCTAGCCTTTTTAAATTTTAACCTCAAAACTGAAATGTTTCATATTCATGTTTGTCAACAAAGCCACGCTTCGATACAATCGCAGAATCAGCCGTTTGATTGGTCATTGAACCGGGGCTTTAGGAAGAAGAAGAAGATGCATTGGTTGACGTTTTTTATGTAAATAGATTGACGTTTCGTTAAATTATGTACCTTTTTAATAAGATAATAAAAATTGTGTTTATCGTTTAGCCGGTCTGTAGATTGATTTTATTCATGATGCTATCAAGCCACATATTCAACTTGTTTAAACTGTTTTCATTTCTGTGTGAGTAGTGGTAGCACCAAATGTGTAGACGCGTTTGCTGCGCTTCTGAAATGCAAAAAAATGGTAACTCTAATCAGCGAATTACATTTCTGGACTAGCAAAGACACTATATCCATCAGAGAGACAGATTATGCTGCTTTCAAGTAAGTACAAAACGATGAAGGTTTTAAATTTTCCTTTTTTCCAGCTCAATGTCTAGACAAATTTTAGTGTCCAGTAACTGAACCACGCCAGGAGCTGAAGATGGTAATTTTCAAAGCCAAAAATTGGTTCTGATTCTAGATTTTTGTAGCTCTGGTGATTTCCACTGCCCTAAATTGTTTTACCGCAGTGCTGAAAAGATAGATTCCTATCCTTAAGGTTTACAGTGCTTCTAAATGTTCTCCATTATACCTTGGCACTATTGTCTCTTCGGATAGTAAGGCACAAAATAACTGAAAGTTTAAGGACTCTATACCAACAGGTAAATAGACAGGCAGTCCAAAAAATGTCACTAAATGGTCTGGAAGTGGGAATTGGAAAAAATATCACATGAACTCGATAGTGCTCCTGATTTTTATTTAATATCTTCAGTGATTCTAATCTATTTTATTGATGTTTTTAGATACCATGAAAAGAAAACACCTTGTAATGCACCTTTACAAGTGGCAAAAAAAACCTACACGGAAAAGAGAGGGATGTTTTGGATCCCTCCTAACAAAAGGCCAGTGAAACTACGAGATTCTCTGAAGGAATTGGAGGTTAGTGTTCCTATTCATCATTTTACCATTGTGAGAGAATGAATGTTAAGGAAATAAGTACCTATACTCTATCGACACAGTATTGCAGCCAAGCAATAGGTAGCTATTCTGACATATGCAAGGTAGCAAGGTTGGTATCGGGGTGCTTTTCAATGGGGAAAAGGAGGATCAATCCTATAAATTAACTGGGACAACTGTGGTGTGTGAAGTAAAAATGTCAGAAAAAGCAAAGGAAAATTTACTGTTGTGTGTAAATGTAAATATTACCTGCTGCGGTAACTTGCATATTGATGGTGAAATTCCCCAATCAGTTATATGGGTTTGCGATATTCTAGACTTTGTGTCATACTTTTTTTTTAAATTGAAAACCAATCAACATCAATTCCTCAAAATTTCCATGACTTTTCTTTTCTGTGCATAGTAAATTCTGTAACAATTGAATGGAATGATTATGATTTATTCTCCTTACAAAAAAATAAAATGGGCGCAAAGATTTTAAAACATCACAATCGAGATGTGGTTTTTGAGGTTCACCATCAATATTCTTTGCAGCCAGCATATTGATGGTTAAATGGGAAAAACTACAGCGTTTAAACACTTTTTACATTTCATTCTCTTCAAAGAAAACTAATCAAAATGTTTCCTTTTAATTGTGTGTGAATTTCGTGGAATGAGTAAAGAAAACTCACAGAAATAAATAAAACTCAAGCAGACAACAGAAATTTCACAATCTGAGGTGCAAATTTTTCAATTTTAGCCATTGGTATTGTTATTCTTTAGATATGAGAGGCTGCAATTAAAACACAGCTCAAGTTACAAAGCTTACTTACAGGTTGTAATGAAGTGTAATTCAAGTAAATTAAAATTTTTAACTATCAACCGAACGCAATGAAATATTATCAATGAAGAAAAGAAATCAAGAGCATTAACAAAAATTTAAACTTCAAAGCACTTGTATTTAATTAAGATGCACCTATAAAATGATGAAATGCTGTTTTGGAGGTTTTCTTTAACTATATCTAGTAAAGTAATATGAAATGTTCATTATTTCAAGTATCTTCACAGGAAAATTTGTTTATAAGAGCTTTGAACTCATCATTAAATCTTGTGAAATCTCTAAATTTTTTAACCTCACCTATAATGATTTGATTTTCAGGATTTACTAGATCAGCAATGTGTCATTAAAGCTGTGTGGCGCGACAGTTGCTCCCTGTTACTTGTTTTAAGCTCTGGTCTTTTGGTCAATGCAGCTGTTAATCCAATATCTGGGGATTTGGTCAACATTTCATTTGACAAATATTTAGTTGGAAAGTTGCTCACTGACTATTTGAATGATTGTAAGTAATTCCTCCGCTGAATTTTTTTTTGTAACTTTAACAGCTAGAGGAGAGCACCTTAGAATTCATGCGACAATGATAGAATTCCTTTAAAAACATACAAAACTCAAATGATTAAAATGATTTCTTTTATCGCAGTGCATCTCTGTCTTGAAAATCCTGGAGTGTAACAAGTACCTTCAAAAAATTTATATATCCAGAAAGTTGGTAAATTTTGTATAAATCAGGAAATTCTTTGCATAATTGAAAAGTTTGATGTTACATCAGAATTTTTCAGTCCCTTTAAATCTACTAATGGAACTCATGAATCCATGACTCATTTGTCTGGTTAAAAACATTGAGAATTTTTCTCGATAAGAATCAGGGAATTTTATTAGAACATAAAGACTCTTCATCGATTAAAAGATGTACTTGCCTCCCTGTGTGGCATGCCTTGCTAATAAATAAATGAACAAATACTCTTCATATGCATACATGAAAGCTGCTTTCATAGCGCTTTGGTGTTCTGCGATGCCAAACCGCCACAGTTCTTTATCCTTTAAAGCCCACCAGAGACCAACAATATTCAGAACAGCTATTCCAAATGTCTCAGGAGAATTTTCTTCTTTTATTTCTCCGACAGAAAATGAAATATCTTATAATTTACTAATGAAAGGAAACTCACTAAAAATCAGTCTTGGTTTCTCTGAAAACTGTCACCGTTCCTTAAACGTTTTTGTTTTGCTGCAGTTGTATTGATGAAACAGCACTTCCTTTGTTCGTTCAATGAACATCAGTTGACTTTAGTGTACATGTCAAAACCCCCTGTGAAGAAGATAAATCTTTACAAGAAACTGGCACACACTGATCCAAAACTATCCTCTGTGGAGTTAGAGGGCCCAACTGGTCGTAGAATAGAAAAGCACTTATCTGCCAATGTTTCTGGAGATTTGGTAAGTCCAGCTGACTTGTTAATTGAAAATTTGAATCATGAGTAAATTTTTTCATTTTTAAGCAATTGTAAACTCTCTCAAGTTTATTTCCTTTTAATTGAAGAAAATGAAACAGAAAAGATTTAATATTTACCAAGGTCCCTGCACTCTATAACATCGTAGTCACTCACTAAGAGGTTGCCATAGAGACATATAATTGGAAAATAGGACCTTAGTCAAGGTAGAAAAACTTTTCTATCAGAATTTTTGTCAAATTGGATGAGGAATTAGGATTTTGAGATTTCAACAGAATAGAGAATTTGCAGGTATCTGAAATTTGATGAATTACGTGTTTAAGTGGAAACTACTGAGTGAATCGAACACGAGGATACCCTTGGTTCATGAATTGAACAATTAATGGAGAAGATATGACAAAATGATCTAATCTGCTAAAATACATGTGTTTAAATAGGAAATACCACCACTAGGTAGTGCATCTTCTCACTTTTAAATCTATTTTTATACCATTTCCCCTATCAGAAAAAATTATAATAAATACCGTGAAATCAGCTCTTTAAGTACTCTCAGATGAAGCAATGAAAAATTTGCATACAAATTCTCCATTCTCTCTAAATCAGACGTAAAATTGCATTCTACTTAATCAGACAATCTTTTTCTCTAAATTAGGCAGTTTAGGATTGTCAGTAGGTTTCTCTCAAAACTACTTTTTCTAAGCCACAAACTTCAAACTCCATAACTTCACTCATGTCTGACATTTTCAGGCATTTTCTTACCACAAAATGCTTAAAGAATATTTTTTATTCCTCGGAGCGGATAACTTAATTTTCAGTTTTTGTGGACTAAAATATACATATATGTAGCCTTGACACGCTTTTATAAATTCTCTTTTTATGTTTAAATAATGAGTCTCAGTAGCTGTATTTTCCATCAAGTTAAAAAGACTTTAAAGAAAAGAGAAGAAAATTGTATATAAAAATTAAAATACCTAGGTTTTGATTGGAATTATTGAGTTTGAAATTTTAAAACCCAACTGAAGTTGAAAAAGAAATGAGGTAACTTAATGCAGTTAGGTTGATTCCAGACGAACTATGACTCCCTTGCAAAATTCAACCAACTTTATCTGTTGGATGACCAATAATCATAGTCGCACAGAAGAGGCCGAGAAACAAGTGTACCATGGTACACCAATGGTGGTGTACCAATTTTTAATATCCTTCAATATAATTTGTGAAATTTGTAAACGTTAAAATATTTTTGACTCATTTTCCTCCGTTTTCTATTTCTTCCTGCAGGTTCTAGTGTGGTGGCGGAATGCTAATGATGAAGTGTTTCCTTGGAGACCTGTAGTCAGAGATGTGGATCGTGCTAATGTGCAGATTTTCGAAATTAACGGGTAATCATGACTTGAATTTATGTGGTTTGTACACTCCTGATCTAACACCAATGATATGGAATGATAAACCAAAAGTAACTCTATTTTAGTCTTAGATTATCCAGAATCAGCCCAACCACATCAAACCTAAGTTGATTTTCTCTGATGTTTTATTTTCAAACAGAAAACTAAACGATACTAAAACTTAAAATATTGTGAGTATACCTTTCATAATCAAGAGTATATTTACTGAAATTTTTGAAGTATTAAGTAGTTCAGTTTTCTGTTAAAAAAATGAAATATAAGAGAAAATTAAGCAGTTAGGCTTGCTCAGTTTGAATCCGTCCATTTGACTTTTTTTAGTGTTCTGAAGGGAGGGGCGTACAACTTTTGTGCTCGAATTCTTTAGAAACAATCTACTTTATTCTTGATGAAGAAAAAATTCTCTTTTTTTTCGTTGAAATCTATTTACCTAAGTTTTTTATAAAGTAATGAGGCTAATATTTATTAACAAAATGTGAAATCGAACATTTACCCAGTATCGTTCCTCATCAAGCATGACCAAAAATGGATGAAAGCAAGGCATTCAAAATTAAAGTGTCATATGTATGCATCTGTTTCACGATATCCAATTAGCCCACAAAAAGTGAGGTTGATATTTTATCTTCAAGCTTAAATATCTGATAGCTTTATACCGAGTTCAACACCGAGTGAAGAAGATCTTTTGCACGTTACAGATATGGTGGACTAAGTAAACTTTTCACCAGCAAAATCACATGGCAACAACACATCAAACATGTCTAAAATTCACTCCAAAACACATAATTTATATAGTTTGTAATACTCATTCTCAAATTTTCTGTATCTTCAAGTGCTTCTTTCTCAGTTGTCAGGTTTGCCCAGGGAGACATGTCAAAAAAATCAAACTGGAATAAACAACAATCCTGCAAATTTTTACGTATCTTTCTCATTAATAATTTCAATTCTGTTAAAGCATTTTTACTCTCCTTTTCTTGATCAGAAGGCAACATGAAATACTTGCAATTGATTGAAATTGTGTATAAGCAAAATTTTTAACAGTTCGCGGGATTGTTTGTTTTTTAGAGTTACGTTTTTTTTTAATGTACATCCACATTTTTTGAGCAAACTTGATCACCAGTAACTTAGAAGTGTAAGTGCCCATTGGATGAAAATATCTCTCAGAGACTATACAAATTGTGCGTTTTGGATTGTATTTTAGACATATGTTTTATTCTCAACATTATCTCAATGCAATTTTACCATTTGAATGTCCACTCAGTCTTTAAGTCCCCTGTTTGCAACAGGCTTATTAGGATGGTTTTAAAATTAATGACTTTGGTAGGCAATGAAAGATTGATGAACAAGATGTCTACTATACTGTTGTGTTTTTCCATAGAATGAAGGCCTCATTAGCTTGCTTTCTCAGAACTGAGCACGAAATTTTAGACATCAAATTCAGTCAGCTCTATCCTAACATTCTTCACTCCATTGAACAGAAAATCTCAAGAAAGGTAAGTCACAAGAAAGAAAAGTTTTCTCTCTTGCACACAATCCAATTTGTAAAAACCTTTAAATATGTACATACATGTAAGCAGTGATTCAATCCGAATAAAGTTTTTTTGAAAAACGTAAAGGCTAAAATCGCGCATGGAATGAGCTTTGATTATTTATCATCGGTGAAAATGACTTTAATCTGGCAAAATATTAGACAATTTCTAAGATAATGGACAGCAGCTAAATTTCAAGATTTTTTAATATGATGTTCCTTAATGACCTCTCGAGCTTAATGAGCTTTCAAAATAGAACTTTCCATGTACCAATCTTCAGATAACCAAGTGTGAAAAGTGTGTTTTTTGGCAATTTAATGTACGGTATTGTATGGAGTAGTGACATTGTTGCGTAGTTGAAGATGCTGAGCCTTTTATCCTGAACTGATATGCGATGCGTCGATGCGTCAGTCGATGAGTTGTCTTCTCGCGGGGCAAGACAAGGAAAAAGGAGCTCTTTCCTCGATCACCTGTATTTTCTACTCAATGAAGCGATTACAACTGCTGAAAAACGTATTTTGCAAACCGATTTCTTCAAGATTGGCCCACAGAAAAGTCAATTTGAAAAGCCCATCTTACGCAGAAGATCGTAGGGAATATCCCACAAAAAAATGATGAAATTTAGCCTGTGCTAAATTTTGTGGTATTGTGTACTTTGTTCTTTTTTTTATTTTCTACTCATAATTTCGGTAAAATTTCAACTTGGCAAGTAATGTAAATTGCTTTCTGTGTGATCAATTTTTAATGTGCATGCAGTTTTGCTTGCTAGTTTTTATAAATGTTTTGTTTTTCCAAAATGTTGAGTGCATGGTTTTTGTATGGAAGTGTTTGACTTCAAAATTGCCCAACTTTGAGCATTTTTTAAGATGGTTTTCTCTTTCATGTGAGCTAAATTTTTTTATCCCAATCATTTTCTTTCCGCAGGGAGACGTAACTATAGAAAGCAGTGAGTATGAGGTACTGAAGCCTAAGCTTCTGAGAGTGAACCAAATTTCAATTCCATTGCAAACTCATGTCTGTTCCTCAGCGACTAGTCCTGATGATACCAAGTTATTGCTCAGCTGCATTGATGGAACTTTAGTACTTCATGATTCTGTCCGGGCTGTGACAAATTTTGTCAAGGCAGCATTTGTAAGTATCAATTTGATGTACCTATTCTAATTATTTCTCTGATTTCTTTGTTTCTTTTCCTCCCTTTCTTTTTTTTTACAGAAATGCGCATTTTGCACGATGAGATTTTCAATTTCCTCACACCTAGGTCGTGCAAATTCAAGGCTCCCCTAGTTGAAAAAAGAAGGGTGCAGGAAGTTTTAAGCTTACCTTAAAATTTAATTGCACTTTTCCCATGTTGAATACAATTTGTAAGCAGTTCCTGCAGAAGATGTAGACAAGAAATAAATCTTTTTTCTCGAAATTCCTCTTCCCACTGCTAAATTGCTATTGAAACGAAAATTTCATAAAAAAAAAAAAAAAAAAAAAAAAAAAAAAAAAAAAAAAAAAAATCTGACAGGATTTCCCCATTTTCCCCATTCTCACATGAGTTTCCCCATTTTCAATACGAACCTTGCAAACTTTTCTCATGTTCCAGATTGCAACTATTTTGTGTTGGCATCCAGATTCCTCTATTGTAATTGTAAGCAATGAACGGAGCCAGTTCCAATGTTTTGATTTGTCACTGTCATGCATCAAACTACAGCTAATTAGTGAAGACATTGCACCATCAACAATACTCGATTTTGGACGTTATTTCAAGTAAGTACTCATTTGGAATATTTTGTTGAAGAGATGTTTAGATATGGTATATAGTCATCGATTGTATTTTTTAAAAACTAAATTCCTTTACCTTTTACTCAGTGCCAAACGTAGGCTTTGATGGCCTTGTTGACATTATTAGCCATCTCCAACTGACTCAGAAACTCTATATCATGATGAAATCTTCATTCCTTGTTGAAATTTACTCATTTTACTCAATTAATATTCAGTCATCTAATTATTTAAATTATTCTTTTTTTAACAATTGAAATTGCTTAACATAAAAATGATGGGGTTTTAAATTAAAGTGGAATTCAACAGAATTTTGATCACACCGCAATTAACTTAAAAGTTGAATAGTACTAAATCACAAGCATTTGTTTACAATCTTGCATTGAGTATAACATGCTCATAAAAAGAACCAATCATCAACTCTCAATTTAAGTATATATTTACAGTAACTGAATTAGTTTTTAATTTTGTCTATGATTTTTTGATGTTATGAATTGTAAAATGGTTTTAGAGATTGATCGTCGAATTTTTCATCAATACAAGTATTTAGATATTTTCTTCTCTTTTTTAGACACCAAGCTACTCTGCTTAACATTGAATGGAATTTGAAACCCAGCCTCTCTGCAGAATGTGATAGTCTCATTTTACTTCTTTTTGAGAGGTATGTTTCCTACATTTACGTAATCAGTTGAAGAGGACAGTGTACTTTTTCTTACAAAACTTTAATTAGGACTTAAACCTGATAAATTGAAATAGTCCTCTCGTAGACACTCTTCATGTAGAACCATCTTCTGGTTTTCTTTCTCTCTTTACTGGAGATCCAGTGATAGACTTTTCCCCACTATTAAGTTGTCTATTACCATTTTCTTTTATCATACATTTCTCTGTATCCTGTAAATTTTACGTTTTTCCTTTCAAATGTGTTCTTTTTTTGTAATAATTTTCTCAGTTTGTCCTAAAATTTGTTCTCAATTGTGGAAAAGTGAATGGCCAAAGTTGCTGATGCACCTCTATGAAATCAACATGTACCACCTTTTCTACTTTCTTTCTTTTGTTCTTTCTGTTAAAAAAAAAAAAAATAAATAAATAAAAATAATAATCCTGAGTTTTAAAACTTGTCTGATGATAATGTTTTCAGTGCCTTACTTGCATTTAAATAATTTCGTTTCCTCTTCTACAAAACGAAACAACAACTCTCTCATGTTGAGAAATAAATTAAAATAGTTTAAATCCTTCAGGAAATACACTAAAAGGCATCTCTGTACAATATTGTATTGTCGTTTTGTTTCAGAGGACCTCTGGCTATCTTACGAATCATAGGAAGTGACTCAAGCTTGACTGCGGATGCTTTAGTCGCTCAGTATTTGAGCTTCAATCAGACAGACAAGGCAATAAACATTCTGTTGTGTTTGGATTGGAATTCTACTCCCTCAGCTTGTCTAGCCTGTCTCCATTTGATTACCAACCATATTTTCCGATTGCCATTCACGTCAGAAAGAGAGGGTGTGTATTTGATTGGTTTCTACCAAGATGATTCTAAGTGATCTAGGGGCAAGATCTGCTACTATATGTTGCGCTGCTACTCAGTTTTTGTCTTTAAGAAGCAATAATTATAACATTGTACAAACTAATGCAATAAACTGATCCATAACAGGTGACAGCATTAATACTCCGTAGTATGGCTCCAAATTCTTGATGATGCATCAAAAATTTACTTTCAGAACGACCATAGAGGACTGAGTTCTAATGTTGCTCCTTGTTATTGATCAGATTCTTGCATCAATTTGTACATTGCGGTAGTTATTGCTTCTTAAAGGCACAGACTTTGTAGCAGTGTAACGTAGCAATGGATCTCTGCTTTAGATCACCAAGAATCACTTTAAGTGAAGGACTATTAGGAAAAAGGGCACATGTCCATCTAGTGTTGCTAAGATTGTATGTACCTTTTTGCCCTTCTTTTCCACGAATAAAAATTCACATAACCCTACACAGAATACCGCGGAAAATTACCTCACTGAATTTGAATATTTTAGGAGGTAAACATTTAAAATTAAAAGCTTCTAATCGACAAAGAAAATCATCAAACACTTCACAATCTTAGCAGCGACAAATGAATGTGTGCCCTTTTTCCCAATGAATCCTCAAGTATGCTAGGGTCTGTTCAAATTCAGTAATTTCTCTACTTATCTTTATCATATTTTTATGGCTTATTTATGAATTCTTCAAATGGGCCTGTTGCAAACTTTTGCTAGAGCAAAAATAAGAGTTGTTTCTTATAGATAATGCCTCAAAAATCACGATGAGCGCATCGGCAAAGTCTGTAATGCACTCATAACTTCACAGTCTGCGTAAGAAATTTGCGGTTTTTTGAGCTTCCTGCTTCAAAAACGATACTACGGCACAGGTGAACATTTTGTAAGAGGAGTCGTTCCATCGTCGGCAATAATCATCATGGCCGACGCCAATCCGCCAAAACACGTTTGATGGGACGAGATAACACCTGAACTGGATTAGACCAGATAACAATCGGTGTGTTAACGTTCATATTTTCCACGCCCGAATTGATTGACCTTGAACTCTCCTCGAACTACGCGCGGAACTGCGCGCAAGCGTCGGCCATGATGAATATCGCCGACGATGGAGCGACTCCTCTAACAAAATGTTCACCTGTGCCGTAGTATCGTTTTTGAAGCGGGAAGCTTAAAAAAACGCAATTTTCTTACGCAGATTGTGAAGTTATGAGTGCATTTCAGACTTTGCCGAAGCGCTCATCGTGATTTTTGAGGCATTATCTACAAGAAACAACTCTTATTTTTGCTCTAGCAAAAGTTTGCAACAGGCCCATTGTTGACAACACTATCGAGAATAATAGAGACAGGTTTTCCAACAGAGAAGTCTATGTTACATCATTTTTATTGAAATACATTTTTTAATATAACCGTTTTGGGAGTTGCCTGGTGAAGCAAGATCCATGTGAACGAAGTTCAGAAAAGTTTAAAATATTTTATTTTTCAGAATATAATCGTAAATGCATTCTTTTAATAGCAATACCTGCAACAACTTTCCTAAAAAGAGGAAAAACCCCTTTAAAGAAATGTATCTCCTACTCATGTTTTAATAAAGTCCCGGTGAATCTTTGCACAGGGGTCTGGTTTTCTTCTTAAAGCATTTTCACCAGATTATTCAACAAGGTCAAGATTCGGTATCACTTGAGCTCAGTAAGCTGTATGTATCTGCAGAAAGTACTTATTTTTTTCCATTTAACTTTTAATTCTAGTTCAACTCCAAACGGCCCTTGGTAGTTTTCACTTACCTCTGCATCCAATCAATCCTGCCGTGGAAATGGAATATGGTGATCCAGTTAGAGATTTGACCCGAAGATTTTTTCATCAACTTGTAAGGTCAGTTAAATCAGTGAAAGAGATCAACAATTTTTTTTAGACTTCGCATTATGATATTGCACAAAGCATATTTAATTGTCTGCAAAGAAGATTATCCGACAGTGCGGCAAGTTATTTTACTGTCTTAAAACTTTTTACTTCTTCAAAGATTTTCTGAATTTGTTTTTGTAATTTTCAAATTTCGAACAAAAAAAATCTCCAATTCTACTCAGTTTCGATGAGCCTAGAGTCAGTCTCTTGTGATGAAAAAGATGTTATAATCCTAGCAGCTAGTGTGAGCTTCGACAGGGCAAAGGTTTTGAACTTTTTTTAATTTAAGCAGTTGTGTTCCTTTTTAACTCTGTAATCGTCATCTAGCAGAAACATTTGGAAAATTAATTGATTGGCTTTTGTTTGTAATGAAGAAGTTAACCCATATGTCGTTAATGTGTCACTGAAACATTTTTTTTCAAAATTTTTAGGTACCAGCTTTTTGAAAAAGCTTTCAGACTAGGAATCGATCTACATGAACACGATCTATTTCTGGACTTATATTATTATGCTAAATCCATCAATAATATGGAAATGGCCAATGCAGCATGGGAAAAATCTCAAGAAATAGCAGACGAATGTTCAACTTCAGGTGCGTGTTAGCTTATGTTGAAGGAATGCCTTTTTTATTTGAAAAAAGGAAAACCAAGTAACCTGTGGTCCGATGGGATTAGCTTGATTTCAGTTGAATCGGGGAACTTACGATTTTGACCCAAAAATTTAAGTCCATTCCTGCTGTTCAGATTTTGTCATTCTCTTTTTTTCAGTGTAGCCCTCTCTGAGGTTTACTTTTTTTATTTGAACTTTGATGGGAAGAAGGGGACCCTTATCGCATGGATGTACGGTTTTTTTCATTTTTTACTCCAAAGAATCAACCCTTTATGGCACTACCTATTATACAATGATGAGATGCTAATTTTTTCAGGTTGCCTCGTCAGATTCCTTAGTGATCCTAAAAGATGCAAGCTGTTTTAGTGAAGTAAAAAAGTCTCTCATCTTCCTTTTGTGGAGCCATCCAATTGATTCAGATCTATTCATTAACACCTATTTGAGCACATAATGCAATCGTCTTAACTGGTTACACATTCATTTTGCCTCAGGTTCAACCCAGAGTGATTGTTCGCGGTCTTCTTGTTCGAAATGCTCGCATGGTGACAGTGCCAGTGAACATTCAGATGGAAATGTTCCTCTTCTTGCTCAACTTCCACCGCCTTTGCCTATTGTTCGCCCCCCTCCTACTCCATCCTCATCATCAACCGTCCAAAACTCACACAAGCAGAAAGTCAAGTTTTCAGACACTGTTACTCACATAACTGTACCGGTAAGTCCTACTTTTATATCTGTCATGATAATAGTAACAATTATTAGTTTAACTATGATTGATACCAGAAATAAAATTATCAAAAATATAAATCTTATTTACATACAAGATTCTAGACTTATCCAATAAAAGTATTATTATAACTTATTATTATTAACTCTTCTATATTCAATATTAGATCTCAAGTTTAACTCTGATTCTCCCTCCTGAAAAATCAAAATATGTGTCATTCTGCTAAAATTGTACTTATTTAGATCACAATTACCTTTATCATTTAAGCTCCAAAATTATGGCCGATAATGATCTCAGCTTCAACGGCTATGAATCTATGATTCACCCTGTAGATTTGTGAGCATTCTCCGAAATAAACTCCCAATTGATTGGCTGATTGATTGGTTCTATTCAAGATGCGCATGATTTTAGCTTGTAAAAGAGAGTATTTTATTTTTGAATGTTTATTTTTAACTTAAATTGTCCAATGCGCTTGTTCAGTACAACTGTGTATTGCAGAAGTAATCTTTAATGCATTGTTTCGGTGTGAAATCGCTCAGTGTTTCAATGTTAAGAACCTCTCTGCCTCCTCATAGATGTCTTTAATAGCGCCGTTTCAAAATTGTTTTAAAATTTATTTTTGGCACTGTCAAAAATGACAGTGCCTACCTTTTTCCATTTTACAATAATCACATTTTAACTGAGAAAAAGCCTTTTAAATTTGCCAATAATGCAACCCCACTTCAAATAGAAAAATATCGCGCCAACAGATTTCATGATGTCATAAGAAAATTGGGGCGCTGCGTATAATTTCATCAACCTTTCTTTATTTACCTCTGAGGGGCTGTTCGAGTATTATGTAACACACCTAGGGGGAGGGTGTTTGAGCTGGCGTTGCGGTGCGTTACAAGGGGATAGCCTAGTGTTACATAACAAATTCAAGCTGGGGGAAAAAACTTTGAAGAAAACTTGCAAAAAACTGAAAATTCCGCCCCTCTGGAATAAAGGGGGGGGGGTTAGGCTAGAGGTACGTAATTAAAAGGGGGGAGTGAAGGGCTGCGTTATGGGTGTATCACAAAGGGGGAAGGGGGGGGTCAAAAAATTGGACATAGTGCGTTACGTAATTCTTGAACGGCCCCCAAGTCGCGATTGTAACGAGAGGTCATGAGCGTACTTGCAATATTATCGCTGTTTAAGGTGAATTTCTGTATTATTATTTTAAAATAAAATCGTTGGTTTGCGAATTTATTAGTATGGCAGCTATGTTACATTGGATTCGAAGTTGTGAAATCATGGGTGATTGTCTCGTTTTTTCAATAACTTCAACTTTGAGCCTCTTTCTTTTAGCAAGAAAAGCTGTTTTGAACTAATTGAAGCCAAGAAATGCTGGGTCATTCCATGTCAATTCGAACGGACTTGTAACCACCCGACTCGGATTTCCATGATTTTTTTTTTACTTAATCCATCGGTCAATATAAGAAAAAACTCAAATTTTCAGCTTCATATCTTCAATATTTCTGGAGAAAAATTTTTTTGAAGTTTTATGGCCTTCTCTAAAAATGCACTCTCCAGACTCAGAAAACGGGAATGACTCGTGTTTGAAAAAACCTCATAAGTTTTGCAGTTTTAAAGATTTTAAGCTGAAATTTGGCACACTAGTTCGTGTTAGTATGTATTTTAAGGGAAAAATTCCCAATTGAACCCAACTCACTCAGGAGGGCCAACTGAGCCGCAGATACGCCGTTTTAGCCCTGATTTTTAACGCTAAAAACTAGTTTTCTTAAAATGGGCGTAGCAACCGAAGCTAACGAGATATTGCCAACTTTTTTTTTTTGAAAATCAACTTCAAAGTATGCTCTAACTGATTAAAAAATAAAAATCGTGGGTATGCAGCTTCTTCATTGGTTAATCACACTTTTTAGCAAAAAACGCTCAAAAAAATTGAGTCTGGGGGTAGGGTGCGGCTTATACGAGAAATTAAAAAGGTTGAATTTTGAAAATGACAAGGGACCCCGCCAAAACGTTCCTAATAGTGTAAAAACAAACGTTGTAGAACAGTTTTGCATTTGGTCAACATTTAGAGGTCGCGACGGGCCCTTAAAATTGCAAAATTCGGCTAATTTTCGCATTTTTTCATCCATTTTGGCAAATTTTCTCAGGCCTCACGGAGAGTTCTAATTGATAATTTTATTCATAAATAGGCAATATATAACCTAAAATGCATCCCATCCTCCACCTTAAGCCCCCAGCCCCTCCAACCCCCCTCCCTTACCGATCCAATATAAATACACTCTTCATAAACTACGCTATTTTGGTAGTGACCAGAAATCTAAAGTAACACTGGTCGACACGGGTTCAAATGTGATTGTCTAAGAGTAGTTTTAGCGCTGAGTCCGAAAATGACCTCCGTCATGCTGGGTCAGGTCGATTTTCCCCGGAAAAATCAGAATTTTCCTTAAAAATCGAGCTTTTCCGGTGAAAAATCAATTTACCGGAAAATCTGTGCATGATGGAGGAAAGATAAGGCCATTTTCGGATTCAGCAGCTAAAATTACATGGGGAACCATAAATTGTATGCCTATTAAAGTTTCCGTTCTATTCCAAATATCGAGGTTTTTCCGGACAAGTGCCCCTTTCCGCCCATGTAACGCATGTAATACCAGTCCGATTGATTTGCGTCGGAAAGGAGGGAAAATATTTTTTCTCAGGCGACTGGTGGAGTTGACTCCACTAAATAATTGCCGCTGCAGCCGCATATGACCCTCGCCTTATTCCAAAATCTATCAATTTTTTTGAAAATTCGATTTTTCGAAAATAAATGCACCTTTTTAACTCAAAAACGTTTAAAAACATCCCCTCTTTTCGGAATCTGGATATTCCAAAGGTTCTGCAAAAAAAGCGAGGGTCATATGCGGCTGCAGCGGCAATTATTTAGTGGAGTCAACTCCACCAGTCGCCTGAGAAAAAATATTTTCCCTCCTTTCCGACGCAAATCAATCGGACTGGTATTACATGCGTTACATGGGCGGAAAGGGGCACTTGTCCGGAAAAACCTCGGTATTTGGAATAGAACGGAAACTTTAATAGGCATACAATTTATGGTTCCCCATGTAATTTTAGCTGCTGAATCCGAAAATGGCCTTATCTTTCCTCCATCATGCACAGATTTTCCGGAAAATTGATTTTTCACCGGAAAAGCTCGATTTTTAAGGAAAATCCTGATTTTTCCGGGGAAAATCGACCTGACCCAGCATGACGGAGGTCATTTTCGGACTCAGCGCTAAAAACTACTCTAAGACAATCACATTTGAACCCGTGTTGACCAGTGTTACTTTAGATTTCTGGTCACTACCAAAATAGCGTAGTTTATGAAGAGTGTATTTATATTGGATCGGTAAGGGAGGGGGGTTGGAGGGGCTGGGGGCTTAAGGTGGAGGATGGGATGCATTTTAGGTTATATATTGCCTATTTATGAATAAAATTATCAATTAGAACTCTCCGTGAGGCCTGAGAAAATTTGCCAAAATGGATGAAAAAATGCGAAAATTAGCCGAATTTTGCAATTTTAAGGGCCCGTCGCGACCTCTAAATGTTGACCAAATGCAAAACTGTTCTACAACGTTTGTTTTTACACTATTAGGAACGTTTTGGCGGGGTCCCTTGTCATTTTCAAAATTCAACCTTTTTAATTTCTCGTATAAGCCGCACCCTACCCCCAGACTCAATTTTTTTGAGCGTTTTTTGCTAAAAAGTGTGATTAACCAATGAAGAAGCTGCATACCCACGATTTTTATTTTTTAATCAGTTAGAGCATACTTTGAAGTTGATTTTCAAAAAAAAAAAGTTGGCAATATCTCGTTAGCTTCGGTTGCTACGCCCATTTTAAGAAAACTAGTTTTTAGCGTTAAAAATCAGGGCTAAAACGGCGTATCTGCGGCTCAGTTGACCCTCCTGAGTGAGTTGGGTTCAATTGGGAATTTTTCCCTTAAAATACATACTAACACGAACTAGTGTGCCAAATTTCAGCTTAAAATCTTTAAAACTGCAAAACTTATGAGGTTTTTTCAAACACGAGTCATTCCCGTTTTCTGAGTCTGGAGAGTGCATTTTTAGAGAAGGCCATAAAACTTCAAAAAATTTTTTCTCCAGAAATATTGAAGATATGAAGCTGAAAATTTGGGTTTTTTCTTATATTGACCGATAGATTAAGTAAAAAAAAAATCATGGAAATCCGAGTCGGGTGGTTACAAGTCCGTTCGAATTGACATGGAATGACCCTGCTGTTGATGCAACAGTCGTGTCGGGAATGCATTTGAAAAGCGGAAATAGAAGTGCAAAATCGTATCAATAAAACACCGATCCTTTAAAACTAACCTTCCTTGTTATTTTTCAGAATATCTCACCTCAACCTGAAATAAATTCTGAGGAATTGATTGATGTACCTAATTCCAGCAGGAATTTCACTTCAAACTCATTGAATTTCCAACAATCACCATCGTCAAGCTCCAAACAGGATCCTCTACCAAAAGTCACTATACCATTGACTAAAGATTATCTGAAGCATTTGACTAAGTCAGCCATCAAGACAAGTAAGTGATGAGCAAATTTATTTTTACTCTAATTTATCCTGTACAACCGATTTTCTGAATTTACAATTCCAGGTGTTTAGCAATTTCTTCATCCATATCAAGTTCTTGGAAAGAACAAATATAAGTCCTCAGAGACTGTGCTGCACGAATGATGGGTCCAGTTAGGCCTGAAACGCCCCTGCAGTTGCCTTTCTGATTGGTCTTAACCAGTAATGCTCCAAACAGCATAATTCTAGATGGGAAAAATAGCTGTAATTGAGTTTTCTCCCCTCAAAATGAACACTACTGTTTTTACTGAAGAAGCCCTATGGCTATGACGTCATGTCAAAATCTTGTCTCCAATCGCAAACGTGCTTTGAAAATTGATTGGGGGTGGCAAGGATTTTTTTAAAGGGTTGTAGTTCAATTTTTTCCCTGTAAACATTCAAGAAAAAACCAAATAGTTCATTGAAAAGTTTAGGAGAGCACTTCTAAGTGGAGAAAAAGTTAATAAAAATCCGACTAATCAAAAGCGGATGGTTGAGTTTACGTAGCACAAGCGAATTCTATTTTAAGTTCCGAACCCCTTTGGGGAGACCAGATGATTTGGTTGTTACCAGATTTGACCAATCAGATCCATTGGCTTTCAATAGGTCGAACCTTTTTTAGAACCACCTTGTAAGGTGGTACCAAAATCACGAACCAACGCGATTGTCACCATGCGATTTGTCAGTCACCGAATCAGAAGTTCTGAACTCAAATGAAATGGCAGCCGGGAGGTTTGGGCACGAAAGTATTACCAAACTTCTTAATAAATTTTGCTTCAAGGCGACGCCTGAAGCTCAGTTTAAGTTCAACCAATCAGCAAAAGCTGTTTCCTATACCTGGCTAGGTCTCCAGAGCCCACCAAAAATATCGTTTCAAACTTGTCTCATTTTTGGCATTTCCAAGATGGGATTTCTTTGTCATTTAGGGTTTAAATGAATCGGGAAAAATTCCCAGAAGCTTAGTTCTCTCTGTACCTTCAAAACATGAATTAAAATAAATGAGTGCCAATGACCCATTATGAAATAAAAATGAATTAACACAGGTAAAGAATTTCAGCCTTTAATTTGGGCCACTAAATCGAAGATTATGTAAATACCCATTTAAAAACAACTCTCTTGCTCAATTAACTGAAACGCATTCATTTTTGCATTTTGCAGTGTTGTAATATTTCAACTTTTTATACCCCACCCTCATTCATTCTTGGAAAAGTTAGTTTGTGTCAACATGGAGTATATGCCAAAAATTAACAGGGCTAGATACACTGGTCATGTTGCATATAACTTCAGAAACAGGATTTCAGGATCAAGCTCATGACTGGATGAAGACAACTGATTATGAGCATTTACAACAGAAATTTTGCTCACCTACCCATAATTATAGCGCAAAAAAGAGAGTTTTTGTTCAACGATAAACCTTTCCTATTGGGGATTTTTTGAAGTCAAAGAAATGAAATCTATGAAAACATTTTATCAATCTTACAAACCGTTAAATCATAGGTGATTGGCATCTTAATATCAAGCTATTGGTTTGTTCCAGGTCGTGATGACGGAGAAAGCAAAAATATAAAGGTTGTTCACTTTGGTGTAGTATGAAGAAGGACTTAATGGAACTCACAGATAAAAATGTTACATCTGCTTTCATATTGAAATTTGAGCCATTTTAACAGTATTTTTTTAAAAAAATATTTGCCATTTTATTTTAGTTAAGCGTTAACAATCAATTGTTTTTGTACTCCTTGTTGACTGTTGATTTTATCATGATAAGTATTTTCCCTGAGCAGAAGGAAGGTTTGTAATTGATTTTAAATTACAATTTTCCTCAACAATTACAATTATTATTCGTTTAGTGAAGTTCACTTGTGTCTCAAAGACTTGTAATGATTGCTCACTCTCTGCAAATTTTGCAGAGTAAGTCTTTCCCCGTCCAGTTTTTTTCATTATTACTCATTGTGCTTTAGACTTTATTTTTAACTGCAATATTTTGCTGTAATAGTATGTATTTTTTATAGAAATGTATCTGGCTTTCAAAAAGATGGATGGGCTCCGTTTTAAATGAAAGACTAAGGGATAGAGGAATCTGAGAAACCAAAAAAAATAAAAATAAAAAAAAAGTGGTATATTGCACACCAGTTCGATTATGTCAAGAACCCAGGACAAATCACCCAAATGCGATGAAGGTATACTTCATGTGTACCGGATCCCAAAACGTTCCTTTGCCCATTGATTTTCTAGAAACGTCGAGGAATTGATACTCAAATTGACCAGTTCAAGTGCCTAATTTTTGTAAATTGAGTTGATATTTGAACAAATTGGAACCTAAAAAAGTTCAATTTCAATGTAGATCTTAATGCATCACTCTGAAGTTTTGCCTTGCACTCAATGTTTTGTAAGAGGCCTTGTGTACCCTCTCCCTCACTTCTAATCATCTTGATCGTTTATTATTTTCAATGTAAAGAATATGGTGCCTTCTTAACTTGCATTTTTAGGCACTGTTGCATTTGCTGTCCGCCTGTAGCACTCCTTTCAACTTTTATTTGTATGTGACACTAAATTTTTTTGACCTGATAAAAAAAGGTAGAAAAAATAAGCAACCATGTGTGAACTAAATTAGTCATTGAAGTTGATGAAGGTCCGAAAAAGGCTTCTCAAACATATTGCAGCAACTCTTTAAAAATGGACCAATTTTTAAAAAAATGCATCAAATTAGAACAGAGAGCAAAAGGTTTGAAGTTTTATTCCACCTCAAAACTAAATGTTGAGGACAAGGTGTAATGACTATTTTCATGTTCAAAATATTATCCTCAACTTTAAACTATCAACAGGAGAAAATCTTTGACTAATTGAATAGAAAATTACACCCTACTCATTATTATTTTTCTTTTCTTTCTTTTTTTCCAAAAATGCGTTTTGGTGTGTTTTTGTTCAACTGGGTGCAACTATGTCTGCAACCCAGAAGTGTCTGTTTACAAGCTGAGAGTTAACAGAGATGACGCCGATATACTTTTTCATTCATTTTTCATTTTTAAGAGCCGATTTTGTTTTGAACCGAAGCGGTCAAGAGGCTATGATGCTATTTGAGTCATTGGTGTTGTTATCCATGCATAAAAGTCGCTCCTACAATGTGCTCTGGTGTTTTGCGACACCCAAACGCCATATGCACCTATCCTCCCAGAGGTTATCAGGCAACTGACAATGCAACGCCTCTTCACCAACGCCCTGCTGCTATATAAGAAGAACAAATCGCAAATAATTTTCAGAGCACTTAATGTACTTTAAATAGTCAGAGTAAAGAGTGTCTTATGATACAATCCGAACTAAAAAAACATGGCTGAAAAAAACATTCTTATGTATTTCATTTGAATCGCAGCAACAACCTTCTCTTACGGCAAGTGTGAAAACTTTAAGTATTATTTTATCTAACCTAACTCATCACATATGTACTCAATCTTTATTAGTATGTGTGTTACTCTATCTGTGATATTTACGTCCATATTGTTAATTTAATTTTAGTACCTTATTCATCTTAAATTTATTTTTATATCTATTTATATTTATGGCTCATAATAAATTCTAACTTTTTTTACCTACTTTTATGTTCAAGCTCTAATTTTTCTTTCCCCTAAATTTCTTGGAGCATATTTTGAAGCTCACAGATCTATTTAATTCATTTATTACCAAGCAGCCGTCAAAAAGCTTAGTCTACTGATTAGATGCTGTAACTGCTGTAAGTTTATACTGTGCACAATATTGTAGTTATCAAACTCTTCAACTTTCATCATCATATCTATGGACTGGGCTTCGTGGGAGAGTGTGAACAGGGGCAGCAAACATGAGAAGGTGTCCTTTTAATTTCTCACCCCTGAGTTCTCCAAGACTGCATATGCCTATGACTGAAGTTCTCCTAGAAATGTATAAAATTAACTTTGCTGGTTCACTCTTTGATTTTATGTTGCTACCTAACAGTAGTGAAGAAGCCGTCATCTGGTGCGTACCTATGCATTGACTTTTCAACAAATGACCCATAGGAATCCCATATTATTTTTTCAAGGAAAGTACTTCTGAGACGTTAGGGCAAGGAATTTCTGAGTCTGTCAGTATGAGCTTGAGTTTGAGCACATAGTGACAACCAGATACGATGCTAAGGATCAGACACCACGGAAAAATCACTAAATACATGTTGCTAAATTTCATTTATTACAACTAAAGTAGGTATATAAAAATATTACAAAAAAATGAGTAACTCATTAAAAAATTATTTTTTCCTTGAATTTTACAACTTTGATGTAGATTTCTGCAGAGGAACACGAAAATATTTGCACAACCACTTCAGAAAAGTCTGAGGCATCTCTAAAGAGAGGCGTCTGTAATAGTACGTCATTTTTTGAAGCGTTGGCCACGAAAATATCTAAAATTTTTACAGGTGTACATGGTTGGTAGAGATGTTCAACTACTTAACAGAAGTTGATGCCAACGTGGATTTTTGGGTGACCATATGCGACGTCGAGATGGGCGAGAATGAAATTGAAGTAACGTCATTCAGCGTGAGCAAAATTAACACTAAATCACAATTATTTTTCACGTCAATGATTTAAAAATAGATTTTTGATTCATCAATATAATTTAAAAATAGATTCCTGATTCATCAATACTTTAAAAATAAATTTTCGAGCAATCAAAACTTAAAAAATAGATCTCCGATCCATCCTTTTTGTGAGTTTCTCTGTAAGGTTTTAAAACACATGGTCGAGCTCAAAGCTCAAGGGACACCTCAATTCGATTTTGAGGCCTCCTGGAAAGTTTCTGGAAAACATCTGTCTCCATCTCAGTATGTGGAGCCACTAGGCGAAGAGCAAAACTTCATCGAAACTTCTTCGAAGTTGGAGCTTTGACTCTTACAGATCATTACTTCCGTTTTTCTCATGATACGCGTCCAGTATACGTTCATCTTTTCGGTCGTGTGAATTTTTCTTTCTTGTCGTGGTGAGGCGTGAAATAAGATTCGATTTTCTCCAGTGTCTTGCCCTCGGTCTCTGGCAAGAAGAACAAAAAGTAGAAGAACCCGAGGATGCCGACAATTCCGTAAAGGTAGAACATGCCACTCAAGGAGAGAACGTGTTCCATCGGCAGGTAGAGCCTTGCCGTAACGAATGTCACGCAGTACGCCCAGGCGCCGCACAATCCGTTCGCAAAGCTGCGATACCTGGAAAAATAACAAACAAACAAAATTTCAGACGTTTTTAAATAGGTTCTTGAGGTATAACCCATAAATACCCTGGTGACAATTGGCAATAGAATCTGTGTTCCAAAATACCATAGACCTACAGCCGACTGTAAGATTTCCAATAGCCTCTACATAATATAGCCGGCAGCACAATTTCTTATAGCCTTCTATAGCCGATGGCGATTAAGCAACAGCCTAGCGATAAAGTGTACGCTAAACGTTACTAATTACGGATGCTAGGACTTAGTGAGTTTTTGGACTACCGCTCTCTTTTTGGGCCGTAGTATCTTGATTTATTTTGCGAGGAAAGCTCCGCACTTTTGAAGGATGCCTGCCATTCCTGATATGTTGGAGCGCCTTCAATTTCGTATGATACTGTGCAATACTTCTGGCGTGAAATAGTTGCTTCAAGCGCCGTGGTACGCTGCGGCGCGGCGGGCGGGCAGCCAGCGCGAAACGCGCATTGGCGCCTACAAACCTAACAGGGATACACTTCACGCATTGCGCAATGCGTGAAGTATCCCTGTTAGGTTTGTAGGCGCCGGTGCGCCGCCGCTCCGCTTTGTGTTCGGCGTTTTTCAACTCATGACTTTGAAGTGTTCACACACTCTGTATGAATTATTCTCATTGTAATTTATGGAAAAAAATAAGTAGTAAAGGAAAATATAATGTGCAAGGTGATTCCGTACAAACTTAAGGATCTACGAAGCACACGAATTTCTACACAATTTCTTATAGCCTTTTATAGCCGATGGCGAAAAAGCAACAGCCAGGCGATAAAGTTTAAGGCCCGGCGATAGGAACTATAGCCCGGCTGTATAATTTTTTATCGCTTCGTGTAGCCCGACCGTATGATTTTTTCCACTTTCTACAGCCAGCTATATGATTTTCTATCGCCTTCTTCAGTCGGCTACAAGAACTCCTATGGTATTTTGAAACGCAGCTCCTATCGCCAATTTTTACCAGGGATCGATGGGTACATCGGAAACCGCGTGGACACGTTCATAAACTACGTAACGCTAAATTTCGGATTTTTCGACCCCCCCCCTCCCTCGTAACGCTTTTGTGACCCATGTTCCTGTCCTTTAAATCGTGAAAACAAGATGAATGCTCTTCTCGACCCCCCCACCCGAGCGCGCGCACATTCCGTTGACGTGGCAGACTTGACGAACTTGAAACGTTGCAATCGCTCCGATTAAAGTTTTAAAGTCTCCGCATGATTTATCTACCTATTGAAAAGAAAATAGACCATTAGTTTATTTTCCTTCCTATTCTCAAATACTTGTCGTCGGTTTTCATTACTAATGAAAAGATTTAACGAAAATTTTGATAGACATGCGCATGGTTTAAAAAAAATAATAAGGAAAAGATGAGAGGAGAAGCATAGTTTGTCAACTAGGTATAGGTATACGTTCAAACTCCGCGAGAGAGAAGTGCATTTCTCAACTTCAGCCATCGATTTACTGAAAGTACCGGTACTTTTAGTAGAAACAGAAAAGTACTTTCAGGAAAAAGGCCTACGTTCTTTTTGCTTCGTCATTTGGGGAGGAACATTTTCGGAACATAGTTAAAAAATAGATTTTTTTTTTTGAACCGGTAGAGGTTAACTTTATACGTCACAGTAGTCTTGAGGAACAAAAAGCCAAAAAATGGACCCAAGGGGGGGGGGAGTCTACGGTACGTGTGGACTTAATCGTGAAAAATCAAAATTTTGACTGATCCTAATTTCGAGATAGCGCAATTTGAAATTTTCATAGTACAGGCAAGTTATCTACTGATTTTGATCAGCTTTTTTATTTATTTGTCCATTGAACGGTGTTGATCGGTTCACGTTTTTATTTTTCGTTCGATTCAAGTCGATCGAATACATACCGTTACATGCAGACTTCCTATCGTACTCTTTTTTATTAACTGAACCTTCTGCCTTCTACTGCATCTACAGCAAATGTTGTTACAAATATGTTGTGCGTGCTGATCTCAGCTCATTACATACTTGACTCTTTGAAGGCGCTTTATGTGCGAAAGTAGAGCATCCTGTTGGAGAACAATTGAAGTGAGATTCGACGAATCGCTCAATCCCTTCTTACAATTAGTTTGTTCTTCGACAGATTGCGCTACTTTCGCACATAAAACGCCTTCAAAGAGTCAAGTATGTAATGCGCTGAGATTAGCATGCACAACATATTCATAGCAACATTTGCTGCAGACGCAGCAGAAGGCGAATTGTTCAGTTAAAAAAAGAGTATGATAGGAAGTCTGCATGTAACGTGAGGGTATGTATTCGATCGACGTGAATCGAACGAAAAATAAAAACGTGAACCGATCAACATCGATTCAATGGACAAATAAATAAAAAAGCGAATCAAAATCAGTAGAAAACCTGCTGCCTTTTACTATGAAAATTTCAAATTGCGGTATTTCGAAAATAGGATCAGTCAAGATTTTGATTTTTCGCGATTAAGTCCTCACGTACCATAGACTCACCCCCTGCAAACCGTTTTTGGGTACATTTTTTCCGCATATTTTGTTTTGTTTTGTTTTGTTTCAAGACCACTGTGACGCCATGTCGGTTCGCCTTCAATTTTTAGTGCAGGCAACACGACCTCCCCGTGGTCGAATAGTCGTATCATCGTGAAATGGCACGCTGAGATAAGAGCTTTTTTCCAAATGATAAGAGGAGAAATGAGCCGCCTGATGTGCAACATCAGGTTGCCTTCAATTTCTAGTGTAGGCAACACAAGCTCCCACACAGTCGATCATCGATCGTGTGATAGTAACACGGTCTCAGTCAGCGAGTTTGTAGTAGACATGCGGCAGACCTTTGAGAATCACGTCAACTTATACACATTTTCTGATGGTATAATTTTAGAACGAATGAGGGTCGAGATAGAATCCGGGTTCAAGCGTATTTTCAGTTTACTTATCAGTAGGAAGAAGGAGAATGAAAAGGAACGAAGGATTAGGGAAAGTGGAAGAGAAGAGGAAGGAGAAAAAAGGAACAAGAAATTAGAAGGAAGAAAAAAAAGAAAGAAGGAAGAAAAAAAAGAAAGAAGAAAAAGAAAAAAAGAGAGAGAGAGGAATAGGAAAAGAGAAATAAGAGTAAGAAAGGAAAAATGTAAGAAGAAAAGAGAGAGTACACGAGGAAAAGAGAGAGTACAACAGGAAAAGAGAGAGTAAAAAGAGAAAAGAAAAGGAAGAAAAGGCAGAAAAGAGGAGAGAGGAAAGACAAAAGAGGATAGAGAAGAAGGAAATGATTTTTTTTTCCTAAACTACTTCAAATACCACACAAATGGTAATCCTGCGCTTCCAGTTAGAGCCCCTTCCTCCTCCGTCCCAGTGGCGTGGCGTGCTTTGCGATATATCGATTGATCGGCCATTTAAATCTATGGAAAAGGATCGATAAACAGAGTGTTCGCAGCGAACACCTTACTAATCGATTCTTTCCCATGGGTATAAATTGCACAGCAATCTGTGTATCGCAATTCACGCCACGCCTCTGCCGTCCCCACTATGTGCCAGCCCGAGGCAACAATTGCTCGAGACCATCAAACTCGGGTCGCCTACTCGGGAATCGAACCCGGGACCTATTGATTATAGAGCCAGCGCTACAACCACTAAACCACAGGAGACCGACAAAAATAGGAAGAAGAAGAATGGCGGCAACACTACGGACAGGAACATAATTTTGGGAGTGTACTTACTGTATGGGGAAGACCTCTCCCATTAGCATCCATGGAATATTCATAATGCCGGTGCTCGCGGAGAAGAAGACAATGGCGAATAGGACGATGGGGAGCCATCGCCAGTCGCTGTTGGTGTCGAGGGTGTCGTTGAGGAAACTGCAGTAAAGCCCCAACGCGAACACCCCGACGACGCAGATGAACTGGTTGCACAGGATCAGTTGACGCTTCCCCGTGAATCGGAAGATGAACAACGGCATCGCGGATCCGACGAAATTCATCAGACCAATCATCACCTGCGTCAGAAATTAAAACAAATCAAGTTAATACCTACGCTCAGAGCTTCGTCCTGACTGCGGCACAGTGCAATGAAAATATTGAAATAAAATTGCGATTTAATGTTACACTGAAAAAAAGATTGGTAGCATTCACCATTACTTCACGCTGTATTTCACACAGCGTGAAGGAATGGTAAATTCCACCAATCTTCAAGTCGATTCTGCCAGAGGAATGGTTACCTGTACTGCCGTGCTTAGGAAAAACGCCGTATGAGCCTTCAGGCGTTGCCAAATTTCCCCTGGCAAATCACTAATTTTCAGGAAAAGTTTTGAGTGTTTGTGAACCAATTTCGCAGATAATTTTGTCTGTAATTAGATCTAAAACGTCTTCAAATTTCAAGGAAAAATATTCATAATTTGTCTAAAAAATAAACATTTTATCGAAGGAAATTTGGCAACTCTCGAATGTTCATATGACGTTCTTCCTTAGCACGGCAGTGTACCAGTATATGTATAGTAACATTAACTTTCCCTCTGACAGAATTGACTCTAAATTGATGTTGTGTGTAATATACAGCGTGAAGGAGTGGTAAATCCTACCAATCTTTTTTTTCAGTGTGTAGAATTGCAACTATTTTTTACAATTAACTAATTGCGACATTTTTACATGTTTTAGTGAATAAATGCAGGTTAGTACCTATCGATAAGCTCACTCGGTGTATTACAGAGATAGGTAGTTTGAAATGCAAAGAGGAATTACAACTCATTTCAATTTTATTGCAATAAATTTCAATGAGGTGTGCACCTTCAATAAGCGGTTAGGCAACATACACAACACTGCGATACAGTAACAAAATAATGATACCAGTGAGTAAAAATTGCAATTCATTGCGATCTTGCTATTTAGGATGTTCACCGGTAAAACAACGATGAAACTGTAAAAAAGCTTATCTCGCTTTGAGACGCTTCGAAATCGAACGGGTTGTTTGAAGAAGGGCGTAACCGCCAGCGGTAAGTTTAGAGAAATAATGAAAAAAAAAAAAAGAAATGATTTCCTCTACAACTCTTGACATTTCTTTTCCGCTAACTGAACGAAATTCTACATACCGTCCTACAGTAAGACCACAGTCACACGAGCAGGGCCCGAGACATTATGGGCAAGAAATAATTTTTTTTTAAAATTTTGGTGGATACGCGCCCTACCTCCACAAAGCCGCTAAGTATACTGCCATTTTTAGCAGTATATGACAGTTAAAGCATGCGAGGAACCAAAATCTACAACTAGAGCGTATACTATGTCGTAGTAATTAATATTTTAAATTTGGCCTGATTGGGGAATTTTTTTGTGAATTTGATTGTAGGTAATTTTCGGAGTATTCTTCAAAGTTACACCTTTCTGCAAATGCTTCCTGCCGATAACTTTTGCCCCCCTTCCTTAAAAGTCGACTGAAATGGCGCCAGACCCGGATTTACCTACTTACCGCCCATGGGCCGCCCGTATTTTTCCGCCCCCTTCTCATTTGTTTTGTAACATCAATAGATCGTATTCGACAGTGGTTCGATGTATCGTTTAGTTCAAAACAATAGAACATAACCTCAAACAAAAATTTTAGGATTTAATTTGGAAAATCTGAAAATGAGAAAATTCCTAACAATTTCATTTTTCATTGCCATTTGGTACTCGAGAGAATAAAAAATTCGATCACATAAGACCCGTTACCTCAGATTTCTAAATTGACTTCTGAGGCTGTGGATACATATTGAACCAATCGATATCAATATAATCTCACCCGTGTGATCCGTCGATTACAATCTATAAAAACCATCAAGTGAACGTGCCGGTGGGGGAGGGGTGTATGAGACGCGTTTACTCGTGTTGGGTACATTTTTTGTGAAAGCCCTGTCAACACCAACAAAAGTTCAGTTCCATAAACCGATCCCTGTTTGGACAAGGCCTTCCATTTATAAAAAACGAACGAAAAAATTATGAAAGAACAAACATAAATGTGGTTAAAAATTTTAACTTCCATCGCCGCGCCGACCACACTGTGTTGGCGCAATGCGTGAAGTATTCATGCAGTCTTGTAGGCGCTATGCGTTTCCAGCCGACTGCTGCTGACCGCAGTGTGTTTGACGCAATGTGTGAAGTATTCATGCAGTCTTGTAGGCGCTATGCGTTTCATGCTGACCGCCGCGCCACTCCGTTCCAGGTCAAATTGCGTGTTTGGTTTCTCTCTTAACTCGACTAATTGAAGGTGTTGTCTCTTGTATCACCGAGAGACGACAAAATTAGAAATTACTATACTTTTACTCTGAGGAAATGAGAGATTTTGTCGTCTTTTCTCGTTTGTAATTTATTTTCTGAATCCGATTTTTCTTTCTCTTTTTTGATGCCTACATTCAAAAAGATTGCAAAATTTGCGGCCCCCTACATTTTGCCGCCATGGGCCGCGGCCCATGTGGCCACCCCCTTAATCCGGCCCTGAATGGCGCACTCGAAGTAGAGAACTCAAAGGATCAATTTATTTACAGTAATACTCAGAGGAAACCATTATTTCCTAAAAACCCAGCGTAAAAGCGTTGGTTGTCATTTCCGCATTACAGAAAACAGGAAACGACGAGTAAGAGAATTTGAAACCATGTAAGCACAATCCACGTTCTTGCGATTACATAACGCACGTGGGTTACCTACCAAGCCAAATGATAAAATTCTAAAGTTTCCTCGAAGAACGCACGCTTTTTACGAAATTGGCAGAGCGCCGCCGGGGGCTAATTTAAGACTTAACCGCGAAATTAAAATTCAGACAAATCGAGGGTCAATTAAATGTTCAAGCTAGAAAACTTGACGACGAGGAAGTTTTATTTCTCGAAAAGGAGGCAATGATGGTACCCTTTCTTCGCAATCGCTCCTTAGAGCAACTTAAGACCCGATTAAGTAGGCGCCGATCGTTAATACGGCAGGAGATTCGCCAGAAAGAGTACTTAAGTAATTTACGGATTTACAAATGATGGTGTGATATTCGAGTAGCGGTTGCGCTGAATTTCACTCGACGTCTTATCAACATTGAACTTCCCAAGTTTTAGAATCTCAATAAATGAAGAAGGGCTGAACATCATTCTTGACATTTGCACAGAATTTATTTCACTTAGAGGAGGAAAATCGTGAGAGTTTTCAAAGAATTGGATTGAATAGTTTTTCATCGAAAAAACCAAGTGGGTAAGATAGAAGGTCTGTAATACGGAATACTAAGATACGTAACGTTGGACTTTTGCAGTCAATACACTTGTTCATCGTCAACTTGTCTGACATTTAAAAATCGTATCCCACGACAGAGTAACCATCCTCTCCGATCAGAGTTGCCAGATTGTGCTGAAAAATCAGTGCTTTTCACCATTGAAACCCACGTAAAGTGTGCACATCATATTGCGCAATTTGGCAACTTTGTCTCCGGTTGTGCTGAACATAATCTTGACCCAGCTTATTTATACTTCTCCTTCAGAATAATTAATTTCGAGCCTTTCGGTGCAAAACTCAAAACGCAAATGATTGCAAAGTCATACAGAGAATGCCCTATGCCACGGAGAGAAACGGAGAGAACAATATTGATAAAACTTTAAGTGCCACATTCATACATGCTGTTTCGGAAGATAAGAACTTGGAATGAATCTCAACTGAAGTGGAAGTCCCTCGAAACAACATCGCGAATTTTGGTTTTGAGTGCGTGGTGCATGAGTCTGAAGTGATTTATATTAGATCGAAATTTTTCCATGAAATCCTACTTCAAGAGAAATCCGTCATTTCCGACGTGGTTAAATACGTAATGATTAAATTCGTAAATTCCACTCAATTCCGTCATCAGGCGGGTCAGAGAAGGGTTCAAGGTAGAGTGAGTCATATCCCCAAGTAGCACAGTCTGTTCAGTTCAATGAAAATATATTGAAATAAAATTGCGATTCATTGCAATAAAATCGATTCTTTTTTTACCATGAAATTGCAATACTTTTTGTCAATAAATGCCGTTTTTAAACAATCAAAAAAGTCAACTCCATATTTCAGAAAGATATGCACTATGTAGTGCAATGAAAAATTGCAACTTGTATGAATTATTGCAGGGAATTTCAATGAGAGGTGCCCCTTCAATTAGTAGATAGGCAACATACACAACACTGCTATCTAGTAGCAATAATTTTACTCACAATCAGAGATTGAATAAATTTATTGCAATCTGCTCTATACTATGTGCGCTATTTGGGTATAGTATTCTACCTACTGTAATAGTATTCTACCAATATATGTTTATTTATTTTTTCTTCTAACAAATTCCAAATTTTACGATGATGTGCCCTCAGTTTAAGTTTTCATTTATTTAGTACTCTTTTTGCCCATCAGAGCTTTAGATCAACATTTTGCGATCGTAAATTGGCACGACGCGTTTCCTGCCTGGCTTCGAGTGTGCGCCTTCATTTCGTTACACATGCAAAATAGCTAGCCGTCAAGTAGGTATAATTGCATCAGCAGGGGTTACTGTCAATGGCACGCCCGTAGGCTTCCCGATAGCCAGCCGTTACACTTCATACACAGGCGTACTTTCTCTACCTATTTCCGAAGAATGATCTCTTTCGGAACTTTTTCCGTGAACGACTTAAAAAGCGTTTGCACTACCCTTCATTACCTCGAATTGAATGAATTAAGTACCTTTTTAGATTCCTCTTTCAGCATCGGAAAAAGGAAGGTGAAGGTAATAGTCCGATGTCAGGACTGTCAATCTCCCTTCCTTTCCAATTTTATTTGTATAGTATAATTTGAATGATGAAACTAGAAAAACTACCTACTTACTTCGACAGTGGTGTGGCGACGTATCAAAATTACGATCTCTCCCTCTTTTTTTTTTTTGATAAGAAAAATTAGGAGGAGAAATTTTTGAGGAATGAAGGAACATTCAAAAATAAAGCTTGAGAGGAAGTTTATATTGTTACAGACCAAGACATGTGTCTCTTTAGTTTCTCTATTGACGATTAGGGAATCGTGTAAGGTTGCTTAATTAAATCGGTGAGAACGAAAACACACCAACTCGAAAAAATGAAAAATATCAAGACACACATAAAACTGCATATTAGGTGAAGAAGTTAATCTAAGGAAAATATTTTTGGTGCCTAAAAGCAAGTACTTAAGGAAACTTTAAATGTCCAAGTTGGGACAGATACAGTAACTTCAATGACCTTTAAGAAAATTGTCTGTCCTTGGTGAAAAGTGAGCATTTTCGAGTCACCGAGGTGGTGTGTTTTCGTTTCACCGATTCAATTTGACACTGCAAAAAATGAAACATACGGTAGAAAATTGTGCTTTCTCTGTTTTGAAAATTAAAATTTCCCTTAGTTATAAGTTATAATTATGTTTCACTTACGAGAACCCATTTAGAGTCAACGGGAAACTTGAAGGTGTCCAAAATGTTGACCAGGTAAGGCTTGAAGGCTTGGAGACACATACACTGTGTAAAAATGAACGTGATGAAGACCAATCTCAGCGGCAGATATAACTTCTTGTTTCGCAGCTCGCATATCCTCTTGATGACTGTAAACTTGCTTTCGCACGAACCATCGTCTGAAATTCGAAAATTTGTTTTTGAATATATAAGTTAATTATAGTTAAATATAGTTATGCCAAACCATAAGGACACTATAGCTTGCAAAGACGTCGAAAGACAATCAATTTCAGTTCGAATGTTCCGTAAAGTGTTCTAAAAAAATTACATCGACGATGTAAGTCGGCAACCACATAACTCAGTTTGCGACGTCGCAGACTTCCTACCATACTTTATTTTTTAAACGGAAAACTACTCAACGGTAATTCTTTAAAACTGCCGTGATTTTTCTTCTCCGCCGTGCGAAGGAAATTCTGCAAAAACTTCAAGGAATGATGTCAATTTGTTCTCCTTTTAAAAAAATAACATAGAGGCGGAGATTTTCAGACACCGCTAATGAGTTGGGTGATTGGCGACTAACACCGTCGATATACGTTTCACGCAGACCAGCGACCGGACCGTGTTTGGTGCAATGGGAGAAGTATTCATGCAGTCTTGTAGGCGCTAAAATGCTCTGAGCGCCGACCGGCGACCGCACTGTGCTGGGGGCAATGCGTGAAGTATTCATGCAGTCTTGTAGGCGCTAGCATGCTCTGCGTACCAACCGGCGACCGCACTGCGTTTGGCGCAATGCGTGAAGTATTCCTGCAGTCTTGTAGGCGCTAATACGCCTTCATAATTGTTGCAGATTGCGTGGGAGAGCGCGATTTCAAGCAAAATTCGACCTTCCTAGCCGCAGAGAACTACCGCGATATCTCATAAACTGGAGGTCACAAATTAATAAATGTATAGTGTCTCTAATAGGAAATTGTGTGCTCTTTATAAAAGGTCCGTAAACATTTTCCAGCGGGATTGCAGGACAGGGCTGCAACTTTATTTGGGGACTCCAAAACTGAAAACACGGCAATCCTGCTAACGTATTTGCTCCCTATCTTTGCATGGAGAGTTTGTCTTGATGTAGAGGTGGACTCTCAGGATAGCGTGGGATATCCTCTCCATTTTGGCCTCAACTTGAGAGCTTTTTTAGAGCTTGGAAGTTGATTTCAGAGAAAACCAGTGGCACCATCGTGTTTCTCGCGAACTTTTACATAAGAATCAATAGTCAAATCGCAAATTCCTCACACATGCAACATCTCCATTCGGTGACAAAATGGCGTGACTACATATTGAAATGCGCCCGGGAAAGCATTAAGTTATATGGACGACAGGGTTCATGGCAAAGTATATCCATGTCATTATGTCAGGAGGGCGAGGAATTTTTCATCTGAGGCACGAGCGATTCGCGTCTCATCGATAGTATTGCGTAAAAATACAGAAATACAGTCATAACATTGCTGCGAATCATTCATGAAACTGTGACCCCGTTTCTCCTATCAATCAAGATGAAAGACAAATATTTAATCTAAGCTAGGAGGTAAAATAAGAGCAGGCGAAATTTCGATCACTTGTCGATCAGGTTAGAAGATCAATATTTGATTTGAAATGGGAAGGAAATAAGGTCAAGCGAAATTTCGGTCACTTGTAGAGCGAGTTTGAGGACAAATATTTGATTTAAAACGGGGATAACATAAGGCCGAGCGAAATCCAGTCACCTGTCAAATCACGGAAAGTTATTAACGTCATTTTTTCTTTGCGGGTGATAATTTAAAAAATCGATGAAGCCGTCTTCTTTATTCCATCTGTTCGTCCGGGGACAATATATTTTAAAGACCCCGAACAGCTACCTTGCCTTTATTGCAAAGTAAAGTTACATTAGGAAATTAACGCTTAGATCAACCTAATGGATGACTCATGACCAAAGTGTTAAACAATTGGTACAGCAATCCTCTCCCAATTTACAAGAAACTTGCAAAGCAATATTCGATAGTGAAACTCCCAAAACACGTATCTCGATTTGCGGCGTCGCAGACTACCTGTCGTACTTTACTATTTGAACGGAGAACTACTCAACGTCAATTCTTTAAAACCTCCTTGATTTTTCGTCTCTGTGTGATGAAAATTCCAAGGAATAATGCTGATTTGTTCCCCTTTAAAAAAATTAAAGGGAGCGGAGATTTCTGAAACACCACAAACGACATACGTAGTTTGGGAGTTTCACCATCAACATGGCCCATTAGGCGAATTTTAATTGTTCTTTCGCACAACAAGTTGCTATAGGGTCATTCCACGCCTAGGTAGTCCGGGGGGGATTTTTTTCCCCCCTCCAAATGACCCAACAATATTTAATTTTGGACTCCTTAATACTCCTAGTTTTTGGAAATATATGGGGTTTACATCCGTTTTGTTTTTTTTCTCGCAATTTTCACGTGTTCTGTAACCCCATTGGTTAGCTTCATCCTACTGTAAAAAGAGTGACAGTTTGATAGCAATATTTTCTGGTGTTCCCGCCAAAACCAAGTTTCAGTTTATGTTTGCAGTTCTCAAGAAACTGATTCAATGTGCTCCTGCAAAGTTTCAATTTTTAAAAGTAATTACTGTGTATTATATGTAACTTTTAAAACTTAGTGTACTGACTGTCACACCCGTTACGCAAAACATGGGTTTTTTAATGTAACTATTTTAATTCATGTTATTTTGAGATGCTAATTTTTTCCGTACGTCTTCAAGTCAAGTACAGCTTTGGAGTATTTTTTCCAAATTTTTATTTCAACAATTTATAGGCAAAACTGCGTAACGGGTGTGACACGTTACGGGTGTGACCAATGAGAAGAGGCTTCAATTATGCAGATGTTGCCTCACTTCTCACCATTTTTTCTATGGTTATCACAAGAAATACACTCATATGCACAATTCGAGGTATGTATACATCTAATAAGAGAGAGATAGCCAACTTTTTTGCCATATTTCAGTATTTAAAGTGAATAACACCTATCTCAAAAGGACTTCAAATAGAACTCGTTGAACTCTCTCCGATTGGATTGAAATATTTACACTTTACTATAGGCCTAGACCTACCGTAATAGGATTTTTTTTTTGGTTAATTTGGATCATGCGAGGTCCAGGACCGCGGGGACGAAAGGGGAATCCTGGGCTACCCGAAGAAAAGCCCTGGGACGGTAGGTCTGGGCCACCCTGTAGAAAAATGTAGTTTTGGCATGTTCTACATTAAAATGCGTCAAATTGCTGATTGATTTACTGCTTAGGATTGCCTGCAATAAGAGTATGAGAAGAAAAGTCAGTTTTTTAACTTTTAAACTCTCTCAGAAATGATGGACCTCAGAGAGACAATCTGTCACACCCGTTACGTCACACCCGTTACGCAAACTCTCCCATTTTTCAAGGAAAGAAAAAAAGATAATCGAAAACGGATCATCGGCAGATGAAGCAAAAACCCTTGGCTTCATCATATAATTTAATCGGATTTTTAAATTCATAAAATTCGCTGAGTTTCCACTTTACACTCAGTGAGGAAAAACTCACTTCCAAAATCGGTCACGCCCGTTACGCAGCCTTTTAATTTTTTCCTGAGGAATGGAACAAAGTAAAAACAATATCTGATAAACTAAAATGATCTATAAAAAAAGTTCTTTCTGCTACTGCAGATAATTTTTTAATTAAACCCCAAGAAAGAGTTCAAATTATTGTTTAAAGTTAAATTGTTGTCACACCCGTTACAATGGAATGACCCTATAACCAAGCAAAGCAAAAGAGCAAAGTACTCGTAATATCATTATTTGAAGTTTGCACAGAATTTTCTTCGCACTATGAGAAGAAAAATCACGAAAATTTTCAAACATTGACGTTGAGTAGTTTCCCGTATAAAAATTAAAGTATGACAGGAAGTCTGCAACGTCGCAAACCGAAATACGTGGTCTGATAGTTTTACCGTTGATATATGTTCTCGCGAGGGCAGATCCCTCAGCAACTGAATTTCAGGAAACGGTGAATATAAATTTTCTTTTTGCGACTGAAAAGCACTTACTATACGATAATAACTTTCCTCTTGATTGTGTAAGTAACTCAATTCACTTTCTGATAGTGCAAGCCTGTCAAGAGCATGATGGATTATTAGATCCGCGCGTTATAATATTTCCTAAGAGAAATGGAGTCACTCATGTGCCACTACACGGGTTCAACAGGTGCAAGCGAAAAGTTTAAAAATATTACGCAAGTCTTTCGCGGGGCCTTCGACTGGGTTTAAAGTGAGAGTCTTGGATGGAACTTTATAGCTTTGCGATGAAAGCACTCGATACCTTATCCAGGCCCTAATACGACAGTCTTAATTTAGCTTCGAGATATGAGCACAAGAGCCCCTTGCAAATTACCTCAGGAACTTCTGCTAAAATACTTCAAAATTGAGCCTTATTAAACAGTGTTATGCAACTTGGAGATTGTTCCATTTTTTTTCGCAGACGTCCTCCGTTACGCAAGAAAAACTTCCAAAAAGTGCTCATCAAATTAGAGTGTCATCGAGTGTCTATATTGTTTTAGCAAGATCTCATTATTATTCATTTGTCGCTTTCTCCAGTTTGACATTGTTTCCAGTTTGAGCATTACGTCAAAATATCGCAATAAAATTATCGTGCTGATGGAATACCACTTGTAAAGATAGCGCGAGGAAGTCAGCACCAATGGCGTGCTTTGCGATTTATCGATTGATCTGCCATTTAAACTTATGGAAAAGGATCGATTGACCGGGTGTTCGTAACAAACACACAACATCGATTCTTTAACATAGGTTTAAATGGAGGACATATCGACAATCGATTATTCACACTGCGCTGCTGATCGGCATAATCCGCTACATTTCCTCCAGGTTTAGAATAGGTTGCAAAACTAATCCAAGCGTATGTAAGAAATATTGCGCAGCGGTCAGAAAACTTTATTATTTTGAATGAAAAGGTTGAAAGGGGGCCTTCTCTTCACTAATTAACAAAGGGACGGTTAATTCTCTCCAACTTAAAAATCGCTTGCAGACTATGATCGATTCTGCGCAGGAACTACTTAAAAAGTGCCGATTTTGGTAGGATTCTCGCAAAGATACGCAAGCCCGCTTTACGTGGTCGAAGTATTTCCGATAATGAAGCAAAATAAGCTTTTGCGAAGAACTCGCTCATTTGTTTTAGGAAAAACATTGGAAAATTGTTAAATGAACGGGTGAACCAGCGCAGTTCAACACGAGATGTGATAAATTTTCAGGGAATTGATGATCTTTTTAGCTTTAAAAGTGCGTTTGTTTATTTCATGAAACCGGAGAATCATTATATTCTTACACAGGATATTTTATCATTGCTCCACCATTATCTATGGCAAAAGTGTGAAACCTCGTACCTCCATTGCGGGGTTTCAACTTTTCGCTCCTACTTTCTTTTTCGAAGGGAAACAACCCATTTTTCACCTAAAAATTTACACTTACAATTCTTTAAACAGAGAGGAAAAACTACGGCGGTTTGTAAGAAATTACCTCGACTACACGGAAAAAAAGAGGTAGGGGTTAAGTCCCAACCGTTGGATGATATGGACATTTCCAATTAATTGTGGTAATACCCCAAACAATTGTGGCAATACCGCGATCAATTGAAGTATAGTATCCCGACAAATTAGGCTACTGACCCAAATGTTGCGGTACTACCCCAACTTGAGTTGCGATACTGCCAAAATTAATTAGAAATGTCCATATCATCCAACAAATTGGGGTAGTACCACAATTTTAGGGGGTAACCCCTCACACTTTTTTTCCGTGTAGTTTTCCAAAGATAAAATAAGTAGGACAGCAAGTCTGAAAAGATAAAAACGGAGATACGTGGTTTCACTTTAGCTATACTTATCGACGGTGTAAGTTGGCAATCACATAACTCGGTTTGCGACGTCGCAGACTGCCTGTTATACTTCATTTTTTAAACGGAATCCTATTCAACGGCAATTCTTTAAAACTGCGGTGATTTTTCTTCTCTGTGTGACGAAAATTCTGCAAAAATTTCAAGGAATGATGTCGATTTGTTCTTCTTTAACAAAATAAAATAGAGGCGGAGATTTTCAGACACCGCAAAACGAGGTATGTGGCTGCGGACACACGCCGTCGATATACGTTTCACTCAGACCTGCGACCGTACTGTGTTTGGTGCTATGCGTGACGTATTCATGCAGTCTTGTAGGCGTTAGCATGCTCTGCGTACCGACCGGCGACCGCACTGTGTTTGGCGCAATGCGTGAAGTATTCCTGCAGGCTTGTAGGCGCTAATACGCCTTCATAATTGTTGCAGATTGCGTGGGAGAGCGCGATTTCAAGCAACATTCGACCTTCCTAGCCGCAGAGAACTGCCGCGATATCTCATAAACTGGAGGTCACAAATTAATAAATGTATAGTGTCTCTAATAAACGAGTTATGTGATTGCCAACTTACACCGTCGTTATGTATAAATGATCGTATCAGTGGTGCGATACTTTAATATGAAACCCCAAATTTCAAATCAGATTGAGCGTATGGTTATTTTGAATAAAACAACTCAAAAACCACACTTATCTAAAAGAGGTTTCAAAAAGCAGGAATTTTCTAGGCAAAGGGGGAGGGGGGTTGGGCGGTCCTCCTCGCGGAAGGAGAAGGGTGTATTAATTTCCCTTATACACATGGAGAAAAAAAAACTCGTGCGTGGGACCGGAAGTTCAGGTCCTATGGATCTCTGAAGTTTTCGGATTGAGCATCTAAACACTTTAGGTCGAAGTTCGGATCACACATCTGAAACTTCAGTTCTTACATCTGAAGTACTTTGGTTTTCACATCCGAAAAACTTCGGTTCTCACTGTAACAACTGAAGTTTCAGATGTGTGATCCGAACCTCGACAGCTGGACCTGAAGTGTTCACATGCTCAATCCGAAAACTTCAGAGATCCATATAACCTAAACTTCGGGTCCCACGCACGAGTTCTTTTTCTCCGTGCAGAAAACACAATATTGTGTATTTTTCTGAAAATCTATGATATAACTTCATTCCTCGGCATAGTATTAATTTTTACGCTCAGGTGACCTACCTTGGCTTTCCACATTTCCTTTTGGACGGTCGGATGATTTTGAGGCTTCGATATGTTTGACCATGCGATCGAATTCTTGCTGAACACGACGGGGCTCCACGAATCCTCTGAGCCAGCCCAAAGCTTTCTGAGCTTCTTTCAGGCGTCCTTTATGAATTAACCAAATCGGAGACTCAGGAATCTGAAACGTGAAGAATAATTTATTTACCATTCAGTTTGACTTATCAGTGGCTTGAAATGAAATTCACAATGCGCAAGATACTCGGAAATTTTACATTACACCGCTCGGTAAAAATAAAGCGGCATCCTCTCATAGCGCATTAAACGAGGAATATCAGGCTCTCAAGAAAGTCGTCGCAAATCGCCGGGTTTAAACAGAATCATACCTCTCTGCTTTCCAACTGCCAAAATCATGCAGGTTTCAACTTATATTTAACAGAAACCCGAACAACATGACACCTTGATACTTACCTTGATCCTTTCCCTCAAATTGTACAAAATATCCTTATCGAATTCAAAGTCAGAATTTTGATTAGTTGCGCCTGTTAAAAAATAGATTATAAGGAGAAATCAGGCAACGCCTGGTGTATAGTTAGGCTGACTGCTGACTCAGGGAAAGCTCGTTAATTTTACGTCACTGTATTACTTCTAATGTTTAATTTTTTTAAATAACCAATTGAATGACGCCAATTAGAACTTTAAGTGAATTTCTCAAATACACTGGAAAAAAACCGCTTGGATCTTGAGTCCAGACTCTTGAAAACAATGACAAGAAAAAATACTCTTGATTCAATCGGATTTCTGCTTGAATCAAGAACCCAGCCTCTTAAATTAAGTGACTTTCCTTTTGATTCAAGTAAAAATCCGATTGAATCAAGAGTATTTTTTCTTGTCATTGTTTTCAAGAGTCTGGACTCTAGATCTGATCGGTTTTTTTCCAGTGTATCATGAATATCCTCGCAAAATGTTGAGTCAGATTGTTGCGTGGTTCTTGAGAAGTCGAACACGAAGAAATACTATGCAACGTCTAATGAAGTGAAGCTGATCCTGATTGAAACTTGAAACGGATCCTAGCGGAAGACGACGGGGTTTCGCCTTCAAATCATGCGATAGGCAAAAAAAGGCTCACAGAAGTCGAAATAGTGGCATCTTGTGTAGTGCACACCTGTGAAGTGAACCGTTCCATTATTTTAGCACGCCCATTTCTACAGAGTTCGATGAAGAGCCGTCGTTTGAGCTTTTTTTCAGTGGTTTGGCAATGCGACATGAGGTGTATCCCGAGTCAAAGCGAAACATACATATCACCCTTTCAAGGCAAATGCAAGTGAATTTTGCTCCAAGTTAGAAGCGCACTGACCCGGCGTTAGGTTCTGACGTCAAAACTATTTCTTCGCAGAGTTTGTGGAACCAAATGAGCTCAAGGCACTCGAATACTTTTTCCACGGATGCATGATCGTGAAAGTTTGCTTTCCGCCTCCGAAATCATCAAGCGCATCATGATTCAAAACCCCGAGAAAACGCACATCCGAGGTGGAATGTGAGAATCCAGCATTTACATTCTGCAGAGTGTAAACCTTGCCTTTAAGTATCTTTTTACGGATAGTATGGGCACTAAGTCTCATGCAGACCCTTACCTTTACGATAAAAAAAGAGGCAGCGGCTGTTGGTCAGAGCGGGTGAGAAGAGGTTGTTGCCAAACTTGGACGTGTTTAACCTTTAACCAAACCTTGCCACAGTACAGGTTTAAGGGGTTTTTTTCCCCTCAGTTATCAGGGTCGGATTAAGGGGGTGGCCACATGGGCCGCGGCACACGGGGGCAAATCTATAGGGGGCGGCAAATTTTGCAATTTTTTTAAATGTAGGTATAAAAAAAATTCGGATTTAGAAAAAAAATTACAAACGAGAAAAGGCGACAAAATCTTTAATTTTCTGAGAGTATAGTAATTTCTACTTTTGTCGTCTTTCAGTGATCCAAAAGGCAGCACCTTTAAGTAGTCGAGTTAAGAGAGAAACCAAACACGCAATTTGGCCTGGAACGACGCGACATACCTAGAGAGATATGATGACGAGGACTTGAGATGAAAAGGAGAAGCCCTCGGCGCGGCGCGATCGGCATGTAGCACTTATTAACGCCTACAAGACTGCACGAATACTTCACGCATTGCATCAAACACAGTGCGGTCATTGCGGACAGCGTGAAACGGATAGCGCCTACAAGAATGCATGAATACCTCACGCATTGCGGCAAACACAGTGCGATCAGCGTGAGACGTACAGCGCCTACAAGACTGCGTGAATACTTCATGCATTGCGTCAAACACAGTGCGGTCTGCGAGGCGCGGCGGCGGAAGTTAAAATCATTAATCCACATTTATGTTTGTTCTTTCATAATTTTTTCGTTCATTTCTTATGAATGAAAGGTCTTGTCCACACAGAGATAGGTTTACGAAACTTAATTTTCGCGCAAAGTTTCGTGAACTTTTGCTAGTAGTGTTGACAGGGCTTTCCCAAAAAATGTGTTCAACACCAGTAAACGTGTCACCCCACCCCCGCTGGCACGTTCATTTGATGGTTTTCATTGATGTTTCAAAAGGAATGAGAAGGGGGCGGCAAGATACTAGCGGCCCATGGGCGGCAAGTAGGTAAATCCGGCCCTGTCAGTTAAAAATGCACAAAATCGGTTTCAGCATTGATTAAATACGTTGAGCTGTAAGACTCGAGTGGAGCTAACGGCGTTACGAGCAAAAATACATAGTCCGCACTTTTGAATCATCTGCATGCAACTTTCGGCACAGTCCTTTTATCTCAGGAGGTACATTAAGTCTGAGGGTCGCACTCATAGTCGTTCATAAAAAACAGATCCTGCCTTTAGGAACCTCGTCATGGTTTACTTGTGATTGAGGAAGGTTTAAGGAAGCCCTCTCAATAGTATCATAGAAAGGACGATTTTTGTATACCGAAAGTAAAATTCAGCACTCAACTGCATAACTTTGGAAATTTAAAGAAAAACAAGTTGGTTTTTGCAATCGCTAGCGATAGCTATATTCGTCATGGGAACTTTTGCTTCTGGGATATGAAAATGTTAAGGTACAGTTCGTTTGTAGTATCTTCAGGATTGAAGGGGCTATGTAATTTTGTGTCGACATCTCTTTTTTAACATTTTTAATTTTTTTTCTTTGCATACAAGAAAGCTGTTATATTTACCAATTATTTATTTTCGTTGGATTATGTATGGTTTTCGGAAGTTAACGCATTTAACTTTCAGTTTCGTTTTTTCGGCGTAAAGTATGATATTTTTACTCTAC